CTCTCTCTCTCTCTCTCTCTCTCTCTCTCTCTCTCTCTCTCTCTCTCTCTCTCTCTCTCTCGCAGCACAACGCCAGCCAACAGTGTTCTGCAGCACAAGCCCGCCCGCCCCCAACCGCCACAGCACAGGGGGCACCTGTCTCGCCCTCTTCTGGCTGGTTGGGGGCGAGTCGAAGGGGCCCCAGCAAACCCTTTGCTTTATATGAAGAATTTTAGGCGCGAGATGGTGTGTACTGGAAGCCTGCACGTCCCCTTGCATGATGTCATCGTAAGTGCGACTTGTAGAGCGCGGGTTCGATACCCGCCCGCTCCTCGTCAGCCTCGAGGTGCTCCATGCCCTTATTTATTAGGGAGAGGGTTAAGTTATTACTCGTATTTATTAGAGAGAGGGCTAAGTTATTGTCGTGCAGGCGGAAGGTACACACCCAAATTTTTTTTTGGGGCGGGCTCAACACATGTGTATGTGTGTGTATGTGCGTACAGTTGTACATGTGTGTATGTGTGTGTGTGTGTGCGTACGAGTGTGTGTGTGCGTGTGTGCGTACATATCTGCATGTACAGTTGGGGGTGCTTTTTTTTTTTTCGTTGATGTCTCCCTTCGTCGTGCCCCTCTGTCTCTCCTTCATCCCTATGTATGAACAGCATTCCTTTTCGTTTCCCACCTCTGCCAATGGCACAGAGGTGTATTTACAATAAGTAGCCTCAACCTCTAGTTATATAGTCTATGCATGGGGGGAGCACACATTCATATTCTCGGGCGGTAGATGGTGACGAGCGCAAAAGCAGACGAGTTGGTCCTACACGACGGCAAACACACGTGCACATGTGTGCGTGTGTGTGTGCATGTCTTGGTCTTTGTCTGATTGCCCCTTTATCACTGTTCATCTGTTTGTCAGAATATCCACACGTCTGTCTGCAAATTTGTGCCCGCCTAACACACATGCATACACACACAGCGCGGCACACACACGCACTCCATAACCGTGTTTTCCACACCCCGTTCTTGCTTGTCGATAATCCTCCATGCCTCTCCTTCCATGTGCCGTCATCAACCGACATCGTTAGCAGCATGGTTTGTGTGTTGATTTGTTCAATTTGATGCCACGCCAACAAGGCAAAGCACATCACAGGTGACAACAAGACAACAAGCACTAGATGCAGCTCAAAACAGAGTGAAAAAAATGGAAAGGGCCCTCAACATACACACACAGACACACAGACACAGACAGACACACACAAACACAGAAACACACAGCAATCACACTTTCAACCTTGAAATACACACACCGCACGAACAAGCGCACAAGACGTGTCACTGATCACAAGTTCGGCCACTGGCTTCTCGCCAGGCTGGGACCAATCAGCATGAGTGTCAAATGGGGGGACGTAATCGACGCTTTTCGAGTCAAAGGCAGTCACTGCGATGTGTGCGTCGTGCCCAGCAACCAGCGGCAGGCCAGCAAATGTCTGCCACCTCTCTGTCGGAAGCTTGTCCTCTGCTGTCGATTGCACCATTGGGTGCAAGCTGTTTTTGGTCACTGGGTAAGGGTTTCCGTACGTCACGTCGCACACGAGGACGATGCGGTACACTTCGCCTGGTGTCAGCTGGAGGAAACGAAGATCGGCTGGCACGTCGGCGCCATCGCAGTCATGTGCATATTCAAGCGCGTAATCAAGGTCTGGTGTGAAATAGGGGCCTGCGCCAAACCAGCCAATGTCCGTCTTCTGAAGCGGAGCAAAGTCACCACCCAAGATGCCAACGACAGCATCGAAGCTGTTGACGCCATGAAAAACACGCTGGACGCGAAGCGGTGGATCTTGTTTCATGAGGGACGCATCCAACAGCCTGTAGTGGCCGGTCTTCGTGGTGACACGATCAAGAACTGCCTTCTCCTCAGCGTTGGTGGCAGCGCCAGTATCATCAACCTCATACTTGGGTGCAAATGGGTGGCTGGTGCTGGTGAGGTGGCCGCGAAAGCGCGTCTTGTTGCGATGCATGGCGCCATTGAACGCTGCAAGCTTCTGATCACACCATGTAATAACAGCAGCCGCGACCTTGCGACCAAATGGCCCAAGAAGGTCTGGCTGCCGAGCGGTGCGGCCACCAGCCTGACGAAGGAGCTGTGGTGTGCAGTGGATGAAGATAAGAGCAGAATACAAAGCAGAGAGAAGGGCAGGGGTGTGAGAGTTGTGATGACAATGGGACGGTGAGGCGAGCAGCGCGCACCAAAGACAGAAAACGCATACATCCACACACACACACACACACACACACACACACACACACACACACACACACACACACACACTGACAGCCAGACACACACATCACCCCGTCCGCCCCTCCCCCCACCCACACACACACATACGCACCGTCTTGACAAGGCTGGCCTCATCCTGGTTCCCAAGATCAAGCGGCACGACGTACACCGTGTCACGGGTTGACAACGCATGCTTCTTCTCCTTCAGTGTTGCGAGGATTTCAGGGTCGAACTTCCACACAGCATCGGGTGGCCCTTGCAACAACTCCTGCTGTCGTGCCTCGTTCAGCTGACGCTGCTCACGGGCAGCGGCGTACTGTCCCCTAAATGCTGCGTGAAGCAGAGCAAAGCTGAGGCGGCTACCACTCGTGGTGAAGCAGCCACGAAGGAGCGCTCGCAGGTGAACCGGCATCTCCTGTCCGTTGATCACCTTCTCGAGCGGCAGGTACTCGTGCTTCTCGTACTTGAGGGCAAGTTGCAGCAGCGATATGCCGTCCTTTTCATACTTGCCATGGTGCCATGGCTTGACAGCAAACCACACCTCCCACGCCAGGCAGCCGAAGGAAAACGCGTCCGTGTCCGCGCGCAACTTCTCCTCCAGCACCTGCTCGGGCGACGCCCAAAGTGGCGTTCCAGCCACTCGGGACAGCGAAGATGTCTCCGTGTTCTTGAACGTGCTCAGCCCAAAATCCGTCACCTTGGCGGAGAGCACAGCGTCCAGCAGCACGTTGGCAGACTTGAGGTCGCGGTGCACCACGTCGTGGGCATGCAGGAACTCCATGGCGCCGGCAACCTCGCTCAAGATGCGCAGCTTATCGACGTGGCTGATCTGGCGCTTGTGAAGGTGCATGAAGTCGAACAGGGAGCCGTTGTCTGCCCAGCTCAGAACAAAGGAGAGCGTTTTCCGCTCGGCGTCGTAGCATATACCATAGAACGAAACAATGTTGGGGTGCCTGAGGGTCATCAGAATGGCCACCTCTCGTCGGACCCGCTTGTCATTTGCATGGGCTTGCGTGTTTGACTTTTCCGAGAGAATCTCAAGCAAACGAGGGCGCGACCGCACGTCAATCTCCTTCAGTGCGACGTCGTGGCCTGCGATGGTGCAGCGGTACAGTTTGCCGTAGCCACCCTTGGTGAAGTCGCCCTTGTCATCCACCACGCGCTCCCTCGTGGTGAAGCGAGCGAGGTCCATGTTCAGGTTCAGCATGCCCTCTGGTGCGGTTGCAACAAAACGCATGGGGCGACGCACACGGCGTGTGAGAACCGCACGCGGATGTGTGACTCGTGCGCTCGCAATCGCGCACAAACAGCACAACAGGGGGAGAAGCGCGATGCAAGTCAACACACAGCAAGCAGCACAACACGCACACAGCGAAGACATGCATAGACGCACGTAGACGCACAGAAATACACGCACATACAGACACACAGACACGCACACATGCGCAGAGAAACGCACCAAGCTTTGCTTCGGCTTCTTGCAGCGAAGTTGGTGTGTCTGGCCCTACGTGACACAAAGAATTCGACATAGGTGAACGTGGATGTGAGTCAGAAGAGCACAAATGAGTTGCATGCAGAAACAGTGTGTGAACACCAGCGATGTGCATGATTCGATATGCATGACTTATCCTCCTCAGCACGCAAACGCAGTTCATACCTGGTGGCGGTTTCGCTGATGTGGCGCCTGCGTCCTCTGAATCGCTGGTCGTTGGCTCCTGCAAGGCCTGTTGAAGCCGCTCTGTGTCACGGTTCACGTGGGTGGCGTGTCATGTACGTTATGCGGGGTGTGTGTATTAAGCGTGTGTGAGTGTGTGTGAGTGTGTTTGCGCGCGCGTGTGCGTCCGTGTGTGTTTGAACAGAGCAGAAAAGAAGAAAGGGGCGCCCACGTTGGAACTCGAAAAGTGACAAGGCAAACGGGAGCAGAAACCCTACCAATTGAGGGGAAAGGCAGAGCAGAGCAAAGCAGGATGAGTGGGCAGCCTCACCAATCTCTGCGCGGGCATCTCGCAGCGCCTGCGCATTGCTTTCGTTTTGTTGTTGCAGCGTGTTCCTTTGCGTCTGTAACGCTTCATTTGCTTCACCGAGGTCCTTCACCTTCTGCTCGTGCTGAGTTTTGAGGGTCTCTGCAAGAATGACAACACCCAACCGACACATCCAGCGTCGCGTGAGCGCAATACACACATACACACACACACACATACACGCACGCATGCACGCACACCCCCTCTCTCCTCTCTATGCTTTTCTCTTTCTTGTTTTCGCACGCTCACTCGCAAAAGCAGAAGCAGAAGTAGCCATACCAAGTTGCGTTGCGAGTCTGGTCTCCAGGTCTGCCTTGCTCTGTTCCACGTCGTCCTTTGCTTGCTGCAAGTCCTCCATCTCTTCCTTCATTGCCTTGATGCGCTCCGTCAGATCAGTTTGCTGCTGCTCGCTGTCGGCGTGTGCACTCCTCAGCGATTCTGCGGCGCACAAATACGCCGCGAAAGTCCAACGTGAGTGACAAGACGAGTGACATATGCACCCAGTGCACCACAACCACAAGTCATCCAAACGAAACGACCCTCCTTTTGTACCACAACACACATACACAGACACACACACACGCACACACACACACACACACGTACACACACACACGTACACACATACAAAAACAATCATGCAAGCGCACCCAATTCATCGATGGCAGTCTGCAGCCTCTGGGCGAGTTCAGCCTTTCTCTCGTTGGCTTGGTCGCACTCCTCTGCTCGTTGCTCATTCGTCTGTGTGAGCTCTGCGATTGTCGCTGTTGAGGGGCAAGAACCGACAGGCAAGTAAGCGGGCAGGATTGCGAGGCGAGCGTATCAGATGTTATGTGGTGTGCGTGCGAGAGCGAAAGGGTGAAACAAGGTATTCTGCACAGAGTTGATGAGGCACACGCATGTTGTCGGCCCACCTTGAAGCTGCTCCTTTTCGCTGATAAGGGCCGCTGCTGCTTGCGTTTGTGCTGCTTCCTGCTCCTCCAATTGCACCCTCATCGTGGCGATGGTCGCGTCTGCAAGAACCGACCGATCAATGCAGCACGAAAATGAGCACGTGGAACACGAGCTTCCATGGCTGTTTGCATGCAGACACATCCGCAATTAGGATGGGACAACAACTGACGAACACACACACACACACACACACACACACACACACACACACACACACACACACACACACACACACACACACACAAACAAGAGCCACACCTCGCTCGTCCAAGAGCTCCTGCATTCTGTGCTGCTGGTCCACTGTTCAGCAGGAAAACCAACCACATGTATGCAGTGTTCATTTCAGAAGTGAGTTACGTGAGACTTGCTTGTGTCAATGATTCAGAAGGGCATGCACAATCCCATGAAAACACATGCATACACGCACACACTCACTCACACACACACACTCACTCACACACACACACACACACACACACACAAGCAGCAAGCATGTCACGAGTGGTCACGTACATAGTTGGTTCACGACGGTTGGGTCTGCTGTTGCCTGTTGCTGCTGGTGCTGGTGCTGTTGATGTTGTGGTGGCGGCTGACGGTGGCGAGGTAGTGTGAAAGCTGGTGCACCGCCGGAAGCATCAGGCGTTCGCAGTGATGACATGGACGTGCGTGAGACCCTGCTTGACATCGGTGTTTGTGCTTCGTGTAGAACATCCTCGTCAGCGTCGTCATCGTCGTCGTCGTCGTCGTCGTGTGCCTGCGTGTTGCCCGTGGTATTGTGGTTGTGGCGACGAAGAACGTGCCGGGTGTGTGTGGTTTCATCAGGATCATCCCTGTATGTGGCGGGTTAATGACAAAACGACAACAACGGGGTGTTGTGGGACAGAGCGGACAAAGACAGCGTTAGCCGAGCATTGTGGACTAATGGAGCAACGGGCGGTGCCGCGACACACACACACACACACACACACACACACAAATGCACGCACAGAAAACAGACACACAAACGCACTTACACACAAACACACACACACATGCACACATGCACCACGCATGCACACACAGAAACAGACACACAGACACAACAGACACACACAACATGAGGACGTACACGCCAAGAGTGAAGTTGTCACGGGCGTTTGCTGCAGCGCGGAGCCGGTTAATGCCAGCACGGCTGATGTTGGGGTTGTCATACACCCTGTGCGCATGTGCAATCAACGCATTTGACGTGAGGAACGCGTGCAAAATGCAGGCGCAGGCAAATCACGTTCACAGCCATGAATTCTGGGAGCCACACTAATTCACCCTTTCACCCGTGCGCATTTCCATCCACGTGCGTGCAAGGTTCCGTTCTCCACTCACGATATGGCATTCACGACAGTGTTTGTCTCCACAAGGTTGGCGAGGCTCTCTGCGGCGGCATCGTCCAGGGTGTTGTTCGTTAACCTGTGTCGTGCGTTTGCGATGTGCACGTGCTGGTGTCACAAGGCAGAAAGGACAAAGATGTCTGCAAAAGGTTCCGGGAGCCTTTCCAACCAGGCAAACAGCCAAACAGGCGCGCTGATGAATGCACACCACATACGTGAGCGTGTGCAGCGTGGGGTTGTTGGTCAAGGCGGTGACGAGTGCCCTCACGCCCTCTGACGTAATGTCGTTCTCCGTGAGACTGCAGTGCCAACGCAAAGTCAGAATTGAGTTCAGAGGGAAAACAACGCGTGAGACAACAACAACCAACCACGCTGCAAAACGCCGCAAAACGCCGCAAAACGCCGCAAAACGCAGGAAGCGGCGACAAGACGCAGGAAGCGGCGGCAAGAGACGGCAAGACGCGGCAAGATGCTGCGCCAAATACACAAGACACATGGCTTCTGCACATTGCATGGTGCTGCTCTGTCAACCGGACAGACTGAAGAACACAAACTGACTCGAGCCACTCGACGAAATTCCTGTGCTTGAGTGCGAGGATGACAGCCTCCAATCCAAGATCTCCTATGTGCCTCCCTTGGAAGCTGGCGGATTGTTCCCATACAATGCCATTGTCAAACACAGTCACATCACCCACGAGTGTGAGGAATAAACAAGGAAGCACAAAACGCGTGTGGTGCAAAACACCAAAACCACAACACTCATGCGGGTGAAGGCACGTTGTGGATGGGTGGATGGGTAGGATGGGTGGATGGGCTCTACTAACTTGACGAGCCCTGTGGCTGTGCCATTGGCGATGGATTGAACGAGGCTGGCCGTGCTGGGGATCAACCCAGCCGCCTCAATCATCGTGGCAAGCTGCACCCTGCCGCTCATATTGGGTGTGTCAGAGTGCTGGCTGGCTGGCTGGTGGAAATGCAGTGCAGCAGGCAGGAAGTCGTCGGCTGCACCAACCACACCACACTTTGTGATGTCTCTGACAGTATTCGGAACAGGACCTTCAATCCGCACACCGAAGGGGTTTGTCCGGTTGCGTTGTACTGCGTTGGGAGTTGCGAAGAGGAATGCTGTCAACGACCACGTTTGGAATGCAATGCTTGTTGGTGGCGCTTGCTTCGGCTGCTTGTGCTGCCTGTCTCTCATCACTCACCACAAACACCAACACCAACCACAACACAACACCAACCAACCACAAGATGAACCAGCTCATCAAGGATCGCTCTGTCGCGCTGGGTGCCGGCCCTCACACCGCTCAGCGATCCAGCGTAGGTGTCCTGCCTCACGAAGCATCAGACGTGAGTAGATGCATGTATGTTTGTATGTGTGTGTGGGTGAGTGTGGGTGAGTGTGGGTGAGTGAGTGCGTGAGTGAGTGTGAGTGAGTGTGAGTGAGTGTGAGTGAGTGTGTGAGTGTATGTATGTGAGTGAGTGTGTATGTATGTGTGTGTGAGTGTGAGTGAGTGTGTGAGTGTGTGTGAGTGAGTGAGTGTGTGTGTATGTGTGCGATGTTGAATACGTGGTGCTCTCCGATGCGGTCGACGGGTGTTTCGCCTACATCTCTTCGAGATCCTCCCCCTCCTCCTTTCCACTTGCTTCGATTCCTCATCTCCCACATGCTCCATCCATGCTCCATCATCCTCCAAAACCCACACCATTCAGGCTGACCTGTGGGAGCAAGTGAAGAAGAAAAACAGCTCTGTCATCGGCACTCTGTCCCCCGCCCCAGAGGACCAGCAGGAAGCTAGACAAGCAGAGCAGCCCCCAAAGGTGTGTGCCTGTTGGGAGCATCTTGTCGTTGATTGCTCCATCCTGCAACAATAACAGAAACACATGAGGGTCATCCATCTCAGCAGCCTGATCCTCACACACACACACACACACACACTCATTCACACTCACACTCATTCACTCACACACTCACACACTCACTCACACACTCACACACACACATACACCAACGCACGCGCTCACATAGGTGGCGAAGATGGAAGGTGAGACAAGCGATGCAGAAGAGGAACCCAGGCCAGAGGAGAATGACAGCGATGAAGACGATAGCGGCACCAACTCCTTTGAGACCGCGCGGGCAGCCTTCAAGAACCAGCTCGCCTCCTGCCTTGTGCGCTCCCCAGGCCTGCCAGCACCCCGGCGTCCGGGAACCAAGCGCGAGCTTTCTCTGGGCTCAGCGCACGCCTCTTCTTCCACAGACGACACAGAAGTACGGGCTGGGAGCGAGCACGCGTGTGTGGTCTTTCTTTGTTGCGGACATCGTTTGAGTTCCGTGAGACGGTGTGATGAGACGGCGTGATGTGGTGCCATTCCCCATGCCAAGCGCTGACATTGCTTTGTTGTGCTTCTCTTGCCTCACCCTTCCTGTGACTTGTGGTGCTTTGATTCCTCCTATCCCCAGACCTATCGCCCCCGCCTGGTCTCCCAGTCGCAAAAGGATCGCATTGCCCTCCTCCGCGCCTCAAAGGTTCGCTGTCTCCGTTTATGTGTGTGTGTGTGTGTGTGTGTGTGTGTGTCGCTGTGTCTACCTTCCTCTGTTTGTGTCTGTCTGTGCCTGTTTGTCTCTCCCAACAGCCTTTAACGCCCTCTCACTTTGTCTTTGCTTGCATGCCTGCAACCACATGCACACACACACGTCTCATTCCATTTACACCCCCACACACGCATACACCCCCCCCACACACACCGCCTAGATGACCCGGTCCCGGCCTGCCCGCTCCCGCTATATTCGCGTGGACGCATCGTGCTCCGTTGTCGACGACCACGGCGCTGCGCCATCCTCAGGCCTCTCCCGAGACACAACCCCTGTGCCCGCTGCTGCGACAAGCGAACACGAGCACGGGCATAAGAGAGATGCGCCAACGACTATGCACGCCCGTGGCTCGTTGGCTGCTCAACACAAGGCAGAGCCCACACCCATCAAGAAGCCGTCGCACTCGCTGCCTGCAATTCACCCGCTCCACAACGCAAACGCGCAGCAGCCGGCACGCGCCGCAAGCCACCACGGCAGCCACGACCACCACGACCACCAGCATGAGCACAACACCAAGCAGCAGCAACAACAGCAGCAAGAGCAACACGGACACGAGCACAAGCGTCACAGCATGCACGACATGCTCACAAAACTGCTTCACCCACACCAGCAGCACCAGCAACATCATGAAGAAGTGCGTGCAAGCAAAGCAGAGCCGGCAGCGCAGGCCGAAGAAATCAAAGACAACGGCATCACGTGCGATCAGACACCATTGAGCGTCAAAGAGGATATGAAAGAGGAGCCTGATAGCGCACCGCCAGCACCCGTTGAGGCAGCAGCCGTGCCAGCAGACAAGGGAGCCGAAGCATCGGAGGAAGAGCAAGAGGATGAAGTCAAAGAGGAACAGGTTGAAGCAGAAGACGCAAAGCAGCAACACCGTCCATCCCTCACCCTTCAACCTCAGGAGAACATCGTCTCAGCGCAAGCAGAGGAGGAAGGCGAATGTTCCTCGCTGCACGAAGGCAACGACAAGGACAACGTGCCCGAAACCACCGCTGACCAGGGCGACAACAGCACGGAGGAAGGCGAGCAGCCCACGTCACCGGTTGTGCAGTTGCTGCAGCACGCCTCCTCTCATTCGACGTCGTGGGGCGACAACCTGCGCGCAGAGCTCATGCAGCGGCTCTCTGTCCGCACTCCTTCGCGTGACAGCGACCTCGCTAGCCACTCGGACTACATGCAGATCAAGGGCGGCGCGCCTGAAGTGGACGACGACACGGTCACCACCGTGCAATTGCCTGCAGGCACGCACTCAAATGTTGGCAATCTCGCTGAGGACGAAGAGGCGACAGCCGGTCTCGCCAGGCAGCCCACCATTACCAAGGGCGTGGAAGGCAGCCCCAGCCGTAGGGTGAGTTCCTGCATCATGCATCCTGGTGCAGTTGTGCTCCTAGCACTGACACTCGCACACATGTTGAAAAACGTGCACGCTCTCACTTTTGATCTCATGACTGATACACACACACACACACACACACACACGCACGCACACACACGCACGCACACACACGCACACACACATGCTCACCCGCACACCCGCACACCCGCACACACCCTCACACACCCTCACACACCCGCACACACCCGCACACACCCTCACACACCCCTACACGCACGTGATTCAAACAGAAGTTCAAGTCAAAGAAGGCGATGAGCCGCCGCCAGCACAGCAGCGACGCCGAGGACACGCTTGCCGAGGTGGACGAAGAAGACGAGGAGAGCATGGTTGAAGAACAACAGTCGGTGCCCCAGCAACCAACCGGGCACGCGCACCAGGATGCGAAGCGGGAGGAAGACGACGTGTCGGCCGGTGTTCCTGATGACACCAAGGCCGAGGAGGCAACAACTGCCGTAGCGGGCGCAGCACCGGTGTCAGAGGAGGACAATGACGAGGAAGATGGGGATGTTACGAGTGCAATGCAGGAGCAAGCGGAGCAGGAGACAGCGGCGCAATCGAAGCAGGGCGAGGCAGAGAAGAAGCAAGCGGCGTCACCAGCAAAGATGACGCGGGCTGAGCGGCGGGCCGAGAAGAAGAAGGAGAAAGAGGCAAAGAAGGCCGCAAAGAAGAAGAAGAAGCCAGTGCCCCTCCCGCGAAAGTCATCCAAGTCCCTGTCCACAAGCCAAGGAGAGGAAGGCCCACAGCAACAGCAAGAAGTGTGCCGTGCCAAGCCGCCCGCACCCAAGACGAAGCCCAAGCCCAAACGCGAGTCGGCCGCGAATCAGCAGGATGGCACGCAGAAGCGGGGGCTCGTGTCGCGTGTGCTTGCACACATGTCCCCGCACCGCTACACCACGCGCCGTGGCAGCAACGTCAGCAGCAACAACGTCAGCCGCGACCGACTTGGTCAACACGAGGCGCCAGCGCAAGAGAGCAGCAACGCTGCCGGTGCCAGCGAGAAGGGTACGGCGGACACGTCCACGACCAACAACAACAACAACAACAGCAGCAGCACGTCGACGTCGTCACGGTTCTCCATGCCGCGATGGAAATGGGATCTCCTGCAGCGCAAGCGGAACAAGAGCGCGGCCTCATCCAAACGCGAGAGTCTCGACACCGTCCCACCGACAACAGAAGCAGCAGCGACAACAACAACGACGACAACAGCAGCAACAGTAGCAACAACAACAGCAACCACGACTGCTTCTGCCACGGCAGCACGCCCTCCACCGCTGTCACCCCCGACATCCCCGACATCGCCAACGTCTCCAAGTGCACCAAAGAGAACGTCGTCTGGGTTCTGCTCGCCACCAATGTCTCCGCTGCCGTGCAATGACGACGGCACAGAGCTGCAGGAGAAGCTCGCACGTGCTCGGCGCATGGCAGAGTCGCAAGAGAAGCGCAGGGTGAGTGTTGTTTGATTGATTTGTCTGTTAGTTGTTGTTTGTTTGATTGATTTGCGTGGTGTGGGTGTTTGTTTGACCTTGTGCCCGGCAGGGCGTTGCGCGTTCGTGCAGACACGTAAGCATGCAAGTCAAGCACTCTGAGCGGGAGAGTGTAACAGCTTGCCAGCGCGCAACCGCAAGACCAACCGTTCAGCATCCCATCCTCATTTCATTGCTCATGCGTACAACTCATGATGGCGTTGTGTTCTCTTCAGGCCTCGTCCCAGGCGCCACAGCCGCACACGTCGTCGACCACCGACCGCCGCAGTCGCGGCCACTTCCACCGCGTGCGTTCCATTGCGTGATTGTATTTGCTTTTGCTTGTGTGCTTGTGCTTGTGTGTGTCTGCCTGTTTGTTTCTTTCCGCTTTGTTTGTTTGTGTTTGTGCGCGTTTTCACACGTATGCACTTGTATCCATAAGTTTGCCCTCGGCATGTCTGCCAGTTGACCTTGGTACTCACTTCAAGTCGCGACTGTGCTTTGTTGACCATGCCTTGCACCTTCTAGCGGGAAAACCTGTCCATGATGCAATCGCTGCAGCAGCAAGACGACATTTCGGAAACGGAATTCAACGCCCTTCCACCCTGGAAGCAGGAATTTATTCTCAGGCACAGGTGTGATGCAATGTTGATGGCAGCATGAGAGCATGTGTTGTTGTTGAACTGCCTATCCTTGATTGTTTCGTTGAACTTCTTCAACGACGGGTGTATTGTGTGCTTTCGACAACTCGCTTTGCTAGTTGTCCTCCTGCTCATTCCTTCCAATGCAACACTGCAACAAAGCAAGAAGTGCCAACAACACGACACACCTCCACCACGTTTACGTGCTTGCTCACTCACATTACCCGTGCATCGCTCCTGCTTACAGGCGGAAGCAAAAGTACCTGCAGTCTGCTCACGCCACAAACTTGTGACCTCATGAATGAAGAAGGATGAGTCACAACTCCTTCCAGCTCCTTCCAACTGTCACTGCGGGCCCGTTTTCTCGTTCCTGGTCGCTTGGTGCCTTGCTCAGCCCATGTGTGGCTGCCCTGTTCTTGATAGAGGCGTCAGCTTTCTCCTTTGAGCTTGCTTTCTGTGTTGTTTGGTCTCGTTACGACTGCTCTTTGTTTCCCTGCTTGACTGCTTCTGTTGCATTCGCTCATGCGCGCAGTACACGCACCCAGTACATACACGCACCGTAAAACATGAACAAAACAAGTATGAGACAAAGGGAGGCGACAGGCCCTGGTGTTGAAAAAGATCGCTTGGACCAAACTACGTGTTGTTTAATCGTGAAGAACAGCGTCCCAGCACCGGCTGCCAGTCGTGATGTCGACGAGTGCAACACAGCCGTAACAGCACTGCCACAATCACACACACACACATTCACATTCACACTCACACACACATTCACATTCACATTCACACACACACACACGCACACACGCACACGTGACAGTATCACAGGTCCTCAGAGTCTCGTGCGGGAGATGGGGCTGCAGGTTCGTGTTCACCATCACCATCATCATCATCATCATCACCATCATCGTCGTCGTCACCGCCTTGGTCGCCAACCATGCCGTGGGTGTGCGATGGCTGCTGCCCATCATCTTCGTCCGGCACCTCCTCGATGATGTAATCGCGCGTCTCCTCCAAGATCGTCGTCGTTGGCCTGGCAGAGGAAGTGGCATGGCGGTGTGTGTGTGTGTGTGTGTGTGTGTGTGTGTGTGTGTGTGTGTGTGTGTGTGTGTGTGTGTGTGTGTGTGTGTGTGTGTGTGTGTGTGTTCGGTCATGAGCGAACAGGACAAAGCCAGCCATGTCAATTAACAGCAGAATACACCACCTCAACAGCGACAACGTGCGCCTCCCCCCCCCAAACTCCCCATTCTCCTCCTCTGCACAAGTTGTGTGGGATTGGCTGCTCACTTTGGCTCCGGGCAGCCATCGATGGGCATGGAGTTGAGGAGCGTTTCAAGGTGGCGGCGCAGCACAGCATTCTCCTCCCGCAGAGCTCGCACTTGCTCCTGCCGAGGTGAGGTGTGGTCGTGGTGGTGTGAGTATGTGAGAGAGAGAGAGTGTGTGTGTGTGTGTGTGAGTGAGTGAGTTGTGAGTGGTGGTTGGACTGACACATGGAACAACAAAGGGAATGTGAATGAGAAACGCGAGGTGCACACAACACAAAACTACACACACACACACACACACAACACACACGCACGCACACACACACACACACACACACAACATAAACACCACTCACGGCGCAGATGGAGTGCTTTGCGTGCGCACGTGCGTCGTCTGCAGCCTGTTTGACCTGCTCCTTCTTCTGCTGTTTCTGCTTGTGGACTTCGAGGCGGTCAATCATGTGTTGCTTCTCAATGCATCTGAACAAATCACGACGACACCACGGCGACGGTGCACAGGGGCGTGAGATACATGCAATACTCGATCGATCAAGCAGTTGGTGGTGAATCGCGCGCGCAGGAAAGCGCGATGATACCAATCATCTACATCGATCACCTTCACCAAATCACCGCCGCTCACGCCACAACCACCTCCGAAATCGCCACCAGCAACCCACCCGTTGCACGGGTCGTGAAACTGCTGCAGCAGCTTGCGGAGATCAGACACGCGAAGCTGTGACAACACGGAGGCGAGACATGGGCAAAGGTTGTGGCAGAATGAACAGTAGGGTGACGTCAGTGCATGTAGAGTACCGCTCATCCATGAAAACGAACAAGACACAGACAGACAGACAGACAGACAGACAGACAGACAGACACAGACACAGACACAGGCACAGCCACACGGACACACGCGCACACACGCACACACACCGATTCAAGGTTGTCAGGGATGGTAGCGGCCTCCTTCTTTTTGCTGCCACTTGCAGGCCTTCCACCACCATCACCACCATCACCACCACTGCCATTGCTGCTGCCACTGCTGGCGTTTGACTGCTGCTGCGCTGCCTCGTCGCCCTGCTTCGCCGCCTTCTTTGCCTTGGGCGGGAGGGCGTGGTCCATGAGGAAGAAGTCGATGGCCATGAACGTCATTGGCCCTTCGTACACGAGCGCCTCGCCGTGTGTGGGGTGGATGTCCACCTTGTTGCTGCGGAGGACTGCAATGCCGGGTGCATTTTCCACGCCGGTGGCGTCGGTTACGCCCTTGTGCTTTGGGTTTGTGACACCAAGCTTCATGCGGCCTTTGTACTGCCCGGGAGCGACACACGTAGGTGAATGTGAGGTGATGGAAAGGGGGTGGATGTGATGAGTAGATGAAAGAGCAAGCAAGGGAGAACGGAGGGACATACACATGCGAGCATGCAATAACAAGGAAAACACACACATACACGTCACACACACGCACACACACACACGTAATACACACACACACATAGACAGACACACACACACACACACACACACACACACACACACACACACACACACACACACACACACACACACACACACACACACACAGCACAGCACACGGTGATCACACCTTGGCCGAGAGCGCCTTCCAGATGGGCGGTGTTGTCTTCTTGGACGTGACCAGAACGGCAACAGGGAGGTCGTCCTCGCGCATGATCTTGTGCAGCGACATGTCGGTCACATACCGGCTGTAGTCTAATATCGTGTCAACGCCAACACACACACACACACACACACGCACAGGTGTGGAAGTGGTGAGGGAGAAAAGCCTTCTTTAAACCAGCATTTGTTTGGTATGCATCTACCTATGCACACGCACACGCACATTAGTGTGCGCCCCTCTGTCCCCTACACCCAGCCACACCCACACACACACACACGCACCTGGCATATGGCCGACAGCAATCTTGGAGAGGGTGCTGGCTTTCCGGTCAGAGTCGTAGACAATGCGCTTTGGCGGTTTGCCGTTGGCCTGCGGTTTGAGGAAGAAGATGTGCGGCACGCCCTCCAGCTTGAAGTTGTACCGGCTTTCCATCTCCCGCACCACTTCCATGTTGCGGTGCACGTCCACGGCCATCACGTTCACCATGCGTCGCAGCTTCTCCGCAACCTTTCCCATTCACCACAGCATCGCAGGACGCATCACAGAATTCGGTGAGCAGATGCTGGTGGTGATTGAGGGGCGTGACATCGGCAGGTTGTACAGGAACATAAGGGGGGGGAGGGCGAGAACTGCGGCACGTTTGTATGGTTGCATGCATGCGCCCACCTTTTCATACTCTGGAGCAAAAGCTTGACAATACCCGCAATCCACGCGGTAGATCTCTGCGTATGTAAGCAGAAGAAACAACAGCAAACGATGCACAGATGCACGTGCCGTCAGCAACCAGTGGAGCAAGTACAGTGGGAGAGGGGCAGGGATGTAGGTGTGGGCGTGGATGTGGGTGTGGGAGTGGGAGCGGATGTGGGTGTGAGACTGGATATGGGATTGGAAGGGCAGGACACCCATGTGCACCCATGTACCCATGCACACACACACACACACACGCATGCACACGTGTACACGTGCGAACACGCACACATACATACACACACATGCACTCCACGCACGCACCGATGATGGTCAGCTTCTTTGCGTGTCTGAGGCTGTTGAGCTGTGAAATGGAGTTGAGGTCCATGACAGCACTTGCTGATGGGTACAGCTGCGACTCATCACCAGCGCACACATCACAGCATCCCACGACAAGCAGCAGCATCGCCGCCACTGCCGCGACCACAACCGCTCGCATCCGCATCGTCATCATCAACCACCAAAAGCGCGCAACGGATTCCGGAAAAGTGGTGAACATCTTCCACCAATATTCAAGGATGACTATGCTGGTCTGTGTGTGTGGGCGTGCATCTGTTGTTGTGTTTGTGGCTTCCATCTTCAACACGCACACGAACGCTGTTGCTTGTTCCACCTTCACATCATCGCACCACTTGTCGTTGCTCTCTGTGCAACAAAGGCTTGCGGTTTGCTTGTGTCGCTGTTTGTATTAGAGGAGCCTACACTTTGCTTATGAACAAGAAACCATGTCAAGTTGTTTGTCAACTGGTGGTGGTGTCCTGGCCTGACGACGATCGTGCTGCCGCCTTTTGCTTCTCAAAGTAGCTGTCGTGCGGTTGAGAGATAGAGAGAGATAGAGATAGAAGAGTGTGTGTTTGTGAGTGTGTTTGTGTTTGTGTGTGTGTGCGCGCACACAGTCAGTGAGTCAGTGAGACAAACAATGAGGCTGTTTGTGCGTGTGCGCACACACACACACAGTCAGTGAGACAAACAATGAGGCTGTTTGTTTCTTGTGGAAACGCCAGGCACAACGCTGAAACAGGAGAGGTAAAGGACGCGACGCTCGCGTCAGCATGACCACGCACGCACCTCATGACGCTCTCTGCGCAGGTCAAAAACACGTTGACCTTCTCGTCGCATCGAATATGCGCATCCTCTGGATGTTCTGATACGCACTGCATGTTAAGAAAGACCACATACACGTGCACAGCGCGTGAGGTGTGTTATTGTCGCACGCCAGCGTCGTCCAACGAGCAATGAACGAGAAGCAAAGACAGGGGAGTAGTCCACGCACGCCACAGCACACCTTCTGAAATGACGCCAGGGAGTGCTTGCATACCCGCTGAATAGACCGAATGTACTCCACGCTAACACAGCCAAAGCAGCGACATACACGCGCGCGAGAAGTGAGTTGAAAGCGCAGATGCAACCAAAGCACACAATGGTGTGGTGGCCACGACACCAGCACATCCACACGCAAGCACCCCTACTCACGCACGTCCACATCCGCAACAGCAGCAGCATCCGCAACAGCAGCAGCGACAGTACCTCTGATCGCTGCACTTTTGCAGCGCCGCTTTCTGTTCAGGGCAGCCGTCGTTGCCATGCACCTCTGCGCACTTGTGGAAGGCTTCCACCTCCTGCCTGCATGAGGCCTCCACCGCATCTAACAATCGATCCATCTCCTCTTCTGCGCTGCTGCTTTGTTGTGTGTGCGTCTGCGGAAAATTGGACACATCATTTACAAATTGTCCACAACCGCACTGGGCAATGATGGAAGCAGAGGCGATTGACAGCATCAGCGCTGTCGTGCAAGGCACTGCCGACACCGACTCCCTTGCCTCCCTCAAGCAGGCAAAAGCACAGTACGTTTGTTTGTGTGTGTGTGTGTGTGTGTGTGTGTGTGTGTGAGTGTGTGCGTGTGTGCGTGTGTGAGTGTGTGAGTGTGTGAGTGTGTGAGTGTGAGTGTGTGTGTGCATGTGTGTATGTGTGTGCATGTGAGTGTGTGTATGTGTGCGTGTGAGTGAGTGTGCGTGTGTGAGTGTGTGTGAGTGTGTGTGAGTGTGTTTGATCTGCGTGAACATACGCATCTGTTTTTCGACTGTGAACGCATCTGTGTATGCGAACATGTTTGCGTGTGCTCGTGTGCCGCCTCTCCTCTCATCCACCCATCAACAAGACCCTCACTCATGGTCGCTGTGTACACGCTCATGCAGCATCGTTGGACTCGCATTTCGTCGCGTGCTGTTCCCGCTGCTGGTCCAGCGCGATGAAAAGTGTCTGGACGTCCTGCGCATATGCATCGAGTGCTTCAAGCGCGGTGCGTTGATAAGTAGCCTCTGACAGAAGGATGTCAATTTGTCTCACACACGCACATTGATTCCCGAGCTTGGGCATCCACACACATACACACATGGTTTTGCACACATGCCTCCTTGCAGTATGCTTGCTCCTCATGCTCCTAGGTTTGCCCTGCCTGTTCCTCACGTTCATGCACTCACCCAACGCTCAAACCCACGTGTACATACCCACACCCACACCCACTTACACGCACTGGTCTCGCACCACGACAGAGTTTATTGCCGTGGCAGCAACAAATACCGTGTTGATCAGCTTGTTTGAAGATGCATTTGACGTGCTCCCCGTCAGCATGTGCGAGCGCGTGTTCACTCTCATGGAGCAGAACGCCCAGCAGGTTTGTCGACGCCTTTGCTCTTGCTTGGCTGCGTTTTGTACGAGGAAAGAACACCGCACGATAACCGTGCCCATTCTCCGCAACCGCTCAATCACTCCCCAACACCCACCCACTCACGCCATCCAATCCATGTGGTCGCGCCTTTGCATGTGCCTGCAGCCTGCATTTGTCAAAGCCAACGGCCCGCGCGTCGTTCGCCTCATCAACGGTGTGTATGGGAGCGGTGGCGGCGAGCACGCTCGTGTGTGCAACAAATGCCAGCGATTATGTTTGAACGGAAGCTGTGGACTGGCTGTAAGACTGAATCACACACCGACCATTCGTGCTTTCTGATCCCACTCGTCCATGTGTCCATCACCTCACGCTGCAACGTGACACATGCACGTGCCTCCCCTCCCTCAGGGCTGAAGAAGCGGCTATCACGGTCGCAGGACATTGAACTGAGCGGCCGTCTCCTCATGTTCATCGCCAGGTGCCGTTCGGGTTGCGTGTGTGCGTGTATGTCTTTGTGTGTGTGTGTGTGTGTGTGTATCTTTTTGTTTGTTTGTTTGTTTGTTTGTTTGTTTGTTTGTGTGTGTGTGTGTGTGTGTGTGTTTGTTTGTGTGTGTGTGTGTGTGTGAGTGTGTGTGAGTGTGTAATATTAAGCTTACTAGGTGGGCTTCGCGAAATAAGTAGCGCAGTTGCGCTAACTTGCAACCAACAGACCCTGGCCCTTTAGAATTACCAGGCGTGTCGAGATCGAGTTCTTATATGACTATGGCCAAGTACTTGCTAAGGTGGGGCCGGAGCGATTCTGAATTTCATCACTATCGCTTTCAGTGGGGTCATGTTGTTGTTGTGTGTGTGTGTGTGTGTGTGTGTTGTTGTTGTGTGTGTGTGTGTGTGTGTGTGTGTGTGTGTGTGTGTGTGTGTGTGTGTGTGTGTGTGTGTGTGTGTGTGTGTACGCTCACCTACTCCCTGGTGCACGCCACCTCACACCACTTGTTGACATGCTTTCAACTCAACACCACCGCCACCACCGCATTGCTCCAACTCGGGCAGTATTTTCCCCATGTCGGACAAGTCTGGCGCCAACATCTCCTCCGCTGTCAACGTCGCAAACAAGACGCATTACGACGAAACAGAGGAGGAGGTGTGCATTTGCGTCTGTGTGTATGATTGGGTGATTGTGTGTGTGTGTGTGTTCATGCGTGTGTGTGCATGCGTGTGTGTGTGTGTGCGTGTGTGATAGCGATGCACGCCGTCACACATGCACATGGTTGTGTCGTCATCTGTTTGTTGAGTTGCATCATTCTGTTCTTTTGTTCACTTGCATGCGATGCGAGGTGTGAACACGCCTGACGTATGTCTGTCCTGACCTCCATCTATTCATGTGTGTGTATGTGTGCAGCTGGACACTTCCGCCTCTGAGGCCGCGAAAGCACAGGAAGACATGTACGCGTGTGATGGCATGCACGTGCGTGCTTGTGTGTATGCTTTCGCAATGATTGCGAGTTTTGCGTGTTGACGTCCTCATCTCACCACATACGCACACACGCACCCACGCACACACTCACACACGCACACACACACACGCACTTACGCAACAGCGACATGCCGTCTCTTGGGCGTCCGCTGAACAAGAGCGACTACAAGCAGTTCTGGAGTCTCCAGCGCTTCTTCTGCGAACCGCGCCTCTGCTACCAGCCCGACGAGTGGAAACGATTCGAAAAGGTCAGGCTTCGTGTGTGTGTGTGTGTGTGTGTGTGTGTGTGTGTGTGTGTGTGTGTGTGTGTGTGTGTGTGTACGCGTGTGTTTGCTTGTGTGTGTGTGTGTGTGTTTGAGCCTGTGCTGCTGACAGCCGTTGTGTGAAGATGTGTTTTTCACTTGTACCTCGCAATCAATTGCTGTTCGTCTCACAGCGTCGTCGTCCAATCACTCATTCGCGTGCCTGTGTGAAATGTATCCATACATGTGCAAATATGTACATTTGTGTGCGTGTGTGTCCAGGCGACGGAGTGTGTCCTGGATCTGTTTGAACGCCATCCACTGGAGGTCTCGCCCGTGACAACGCAGCCAACGGCAGGTGCGGTGTACAATGGGGCTGCATGCTAGTGTTCAATACTCTGATTCACACGTCAGTGGCAATGAACACTCCGGCTCACACCTCGATGGTGGTGAACGCTCTGGTTCACATCTCCGTGGCGGTGAACGCTCTGGCTTGCGGTCTGACATGTTCACCCTGCACACCATCTCACACACGCTCGTCAATTTGCACCCCAACACATCCATTCAACCAGCCTCGATGATGGACACCAACGATGACAACGGTGATGGTGATGGTGATGGTGATGATGGTGATGATGACGGGCCGTCTCAGAAGCAGAGGCGCGCGGACACGACGTTTGCAAAGTACCTGACGTCCCCGAAGCTCTTTGAGCTCCAACTCAACGACGTCACCCTCCGCCGCGAGGTGCCCGCTGCTCGTGTGTGTGTGTGTGTGTGTGTGTGTGTGTGTGTGTGTGTGTGTGTGTGTGTGTGTGTGTGTGTGTGTGTGTGTGTGTGTGTGTGTGTGTGTGTGTGGTTATTTGTAGTTGTGATTGCTTGTTCATATTGGCGTTGGACACGTGATATGCGAATTGCATTGGCGGTATTGTCTCAGCACTTTGCATATCTGCTTCTGTCTTTCCATCACCCCCTCACCCCCATCCAATGCACCGCTGTAGATTCTTCTCCAACTCCTCATCCTCTTCTCGTATCTTCCGCGCGACAGCAAATTCAAGAAGCCGTGAGTCGCGCTGCGTGCCGATGCTGCGTGTGCACTTTGTTTGCTTTGAATGTGCTATTCTGTGTGTGTGTGTGTGATTTACAACTGCACGCCAACTATCAGGTTGTGCGAACGATCAGGTTGCGCTAACAATCAGGTTACTTGTATTTACCTTTCCCTCCTCTCTCCCTCTCTCGCTCTGTTCTTGTCGTCTGCTCATGTGCGCGTGCCCACGCGTTACCGGTTGCTTCGACCGCGCAGCGCGGAAACGCTGACGTCAGCACAGAAGGAATGGATGGACAAGAGGCAACGGCAAGTCGAGAAGGTGAGCGCAGCTGCTCGTACCATGTTCACACGCGACCAAGCGAGGGTTGATTGCACTGATGTTGCTCCTTCCCATCGTATCTGCCACGCACACGCACACGCACATACGTATGTACGAGTGTACAAGAATGCACACACGTCCACGTCAAGCCCAACTCGAATTCACACCAACACCCTCACCATTATCATCATCAACATCACCGTCATGATCGCCATCAGCTGATGAAAGCGGCCGGGAGCGACGGCGCTGATTTCCTCACGAATGCAAAGGTGAACCCTCCGTGTTGCTGCTGCTGCCCCTGAGGACTTGGGTGACACATGGCTCGCCAGCCACAACGTAACCCTGTGTCGATGACACACACGCACACACACACACATATACATGGCGCGTTAACCCGCTTGCCTTTCAAGTGTAACCCCCATCTCCCGTGCTGTGGTCGTGTTTACCTCATGTCTGCTTGGTAGCGCATGCTGGAGCGTGAGCTGGTCTGGGTGCAGTGGAAGGAGGACGGCTGCAAACCGTTTGAGAAGAAGGAGAGGTGCGTGACATTGCTTGCTGCTCTCACAGTCGTGTTCTGTGGTTTGATTGCGCACTCCTGACCACACGCTTGCTTTGAATCATCACACGGCTGAAACACACACACACACACACACACACACACACACACACACACACACACACACACACACACACACACACACACACACACACACACACACACACACACACACACGGCTTGCACGCTTGCTGACTGTGTTGTGTGTTTGTGCTCTGCGCAGTGCAAAGCGCAAGGCACCGTCGCCACCAGCACCGGGCGCAGCCGGCGTTCATATGGGCAGGTGAGGCACCGCAAATGGAGCCACACGTGACGCGTCACTGTCCTATCACATTACACACACGCACACGTTGTTCGCATGGAGCTGCGTTGACGCAACTGATCACTCTGGTTGTGTATGTGTGTGTGTGTGCGTGTTGACAGTGATGAGCTGCAGCGGCTGTGGACGCTGTCATCAACGAACATGGAGGCCTGCAAGCGCGCGAAAGTGTAAGCTATTGGAGACCAACTGCAATCCACTCTCTTTGCTTGTCGCAGGCCACACACACACACACACACACACACACACATGCATGGTACAAAAACATTGCACTTGTCACGCACACACCCACACATACACACGCGCACACACACACGCACACGCACACACACATACACACATACACACACGCACGCACACACACATACACATACATACACGCACACACATGCATGGTACAAATACATTGCACTTGTCACGCACGTACACCACACTTGCCACAGCACCGCCACACGCACGCTAACGTTCAAACGCAATCATCAACTTGCTGTGTGGTGTTGGTGTTAGGCGGGTACCGTCGCTCAAGGAATACTTCCTGGACGCGGTGGAGGAAATGGACCCCGCGGAATGCGTGGAAGAGGAATACTGGTCCGGCACATCACTCTGCTGCCTTGCGATACTCGTGCACAGCGTCTCCCCATTGTTCCATCATCTGACCCACCTTGACGCTCACCTACTCACACACACACACACACACACACACACACACACACACAACATACACACACACACAACACACAACACACAGGCAAATCAATGACTTTCGGTTCAACTGGAAAGGCCTGCGCCTCATTTCGCGCAAGAAAGTCAACCTGTTCCACTTTGCAGATCAGCTGTCACTCAAGTCATACATGGAATCCACACTCAACATCCTCGTAAGTCGTGGTGGTGATAACGATTGTGGTGATCATTGCCGTGATGTGCAGCGATGTGCCACCCGCCTCACACACACACACTCACACACACTCACGCACACACACACACTCACACTCACTCACTTACACACACACACACACACACATACACACACACACACATATACACGCCGCCCGCACACATACACACTCACTCACTCGCGCGCACACTCATGCGCACTCAGGCGAAGGATTTTTCGTCTGGAACAGCGTCGCCGTCTGCCGCTGTTGGCGAAACGAACACACGCGAGGGGGCGGTGAAGGCAGAGGAGGAGGGAAACGGCGATGCTGGCACTGGCAGTGGTGGTGATGATGATGATGATGATGGCAGCAAGAGCGGGGACGAGGGAGAAGGAGGAGAGGAAGATGGCGAGGAGACAGCAAAGATGGAGGAAGATGATGACGCTGGTGATGGCGGTGATGATGATGAGGAAGGAGAAACAGCGAATGGTGACAAGGAAGACGAGTAAACGGGCTAGTGTCCACCTTGTTGTCCCCGTGTGTGTTTTGTGGCTGTATCTTCTTTGCCCCCCCCCCTCCCCCCAAAGCCCTGTTCAAGCGTCTTGCGGTGTAGATGTGCATTCCTTCAGTTGTTCGCTGTATTCGCAAAACGTGTAACAACAGCATACATGCAAGCAAGCAAGCATGGAAAGCATTGAACGAAAGCAAGAAGCCCTCACACAAATATTCAAGGAAGACAACAAACAGATGATATGCACGCGCCTGTGCATCTATCTCAGTGGCACCAGAATGCAGAACACATCACCTCACACGGACACAAGGACGCAGCAGTCACACCTTCACGCAACACGTGCATCTGTGCCACTGTATGTGTATGTACGTGTGCGTGTGTTCATGCGGGGAAGCAGATGCGGTGGTCGACGCGCCACGCCTTGCGCTTCTGGCGATCAATGGGGACACGTTGGCGGCCAGCAGCCATCACCGCCTCCCGCTGCTCCTGCGTCAGCCGCTCTCCCCACTTGGCACACCCTCGCACGTCGCCCGACACGGCCTCCCACTGACTGCCTGCATCAACGTACTTGGTCAGCACACCCTGCGCCACTTCCTCTGTTGTGCACAGTGCTCGTACGAGTGCAGACACATCGTTGTCGTGCAGCGCTGCCTTCACCGCCGCGTACTCGCCGGCCTCGCTCGAGGGCATCTTGATGCTGTTGGTTTGTTGTTGAATATTTGGTGGTGGTGGTGATGACGACGCGGATGATTGGTCATTGTGTCAACGTGACGTCGATGCGAGTTGCGCGAGAGAAACGTGTGCAACGGAACAAAACAGCTGCAAAGCACAAGCATAGAGCCACATAGCAACGGATGCATGTGCCTGAGACATGAGCGGTCAACGTACATGATCTCGTCGAGGGTGGTGTTGACAGAAACGATATTTCGCAGCAGCTTAGACGACGGCCCACCCAGCCCGCAGTCTTGCACCCTGAACACAACAACAGCCACACGCATGTATTTCAACACCCATAGCGATGGGTCAGCCTCAAGGCGAAACAAGCGCCGCATAACATAACACACATACACACCAACGAATGGCGCAAACACGAATATGTGCAAACGCACATCCACACTATCTCACACACACACACACACACTCACACACACACGCACATCCACAAGAACACACACACACACACACAAGTGCGCTCTATCATTGGATGCAAACAAGCCGGGAGACTCACGTGAAGGTGTTCATGGTTGTGTTGCGCTGGAGGCCGAGATGAAGTGTGTCCTGCACGTTCTTGTCGGAAAGGTCGCACTGCTTCAGACGAAGACTGCGCAGCCTGCGCATTTCAGGGAAGAGGCGTCCAAACTCGCGCAACACGTCCGCAAGCACACACGTCTCCAACCTGACGGCATTCAGGATGACGATTAACAAGGAGGCGGATTGAGCTGACACAAGAATACACAATTTGGAACAAGTGCAGCGGCCAACGTATGCAAACCACACGTACACAAGAAAGCACGCACACACGCACACATACACACACAAACAAGAAAGCACAAGAAAGCACACACACACATAAACAAGAAAGCACAAGAAAGTATTCATACATACATTCATACACACATACGAAAAAGACTCACGTGAGATGTCGAACGCAGTTGGCCTGGCGGCAGATGGCGAGTGCACGGCGCAAGGTGTCTGCCGAGTTGGTGGCGATGGTCACCTCATCCACCATCTCGTCCTCGTCATGAGTCCCACCGTCGCCCGGATCAGCATCTGCACGTTGTTGCTGCTGACGCCGCTGCTGGATGCGGTCACGCATGGCGAGCAGCTTCGTCCTGTTGTCGTCATGCGGCAAGTCGAGGTCGCCTTCAATCGCAGACGTTTCGTTGGCAGCCGGGGATGCGTTGGCTGCGCGGGCGCGGGCTTCACTGCACCGCTGCTCATAGTCGCCCAGCGCGACGTGGATCTCAGACAGCACTTCACACACATCACCGATGTCGCGGAAGGTGTTGATGCGGCACTGTGTCACCTCCTCGTCCTCCACAACAACGCCCTCCTCAAAGGTTGCATCACGCAGCACCTGCTGCACTTCCTCGCCAACAGCGGTCAGCTTGGTGCCCAAATCGCTCACAAGCGTCTGCCCGTCAACCACAACACGCACGCCCCACAACAACTCCGCACCGTCCTCTTCTTCCTCCTCATTATCATCCGCAGAAGCACTTCCCTCTTCCTGCTCCTCCTGTTGCTGCTGCTGCTGCTCCTCCTCATCGTCGTCATTGTCGTCATCGTCGATGCCAACAGCAGTGGCAGCGGGTGCCGCCGGTGCGGCTTCTCGCAGCGCCGCGACAGGCACCGCTCCGTGAGCACGTGGCGCGTGTGCGATGCCTGCAGGCACGAGCTTCAATCGCAGCATCTGCTCCACATCCTTGAGCCTGTCCTGCATGAACGCGTCCACAATGGCGTTGATGTTCTGGTCCACGTGCGTGTCCAGCTGCATGGTGAGCTGCTCCCGAATGGCAGTGATGAGCGACGAGAAACGGCTAATCTTCACCTCTGACTCCACGCTGCGCAGGTGGGCCACCGCCGCCTCCACGAGCACGGACGAGAGCGGGGTGGTGCGGAGTGACTGCGCAAATGCCTCAAACGCGGCCTTGATGCGGGCCCAGTGCGCCTGCAGGGTGTGGCGGAGGGTGTGCACACCGGTGGCGGCAACGGGCCTCTCCCGAGCAATAGCGGCCATGGCTCTGTTCACGCGGCGGAAGAGGCGAACAATGCGCTTGTGCAGCTCGGTGCAGAGGAGCTGGTCCACGCGGAACGTGGGCAGCGTCTTGGACACGTGGTCGAGCACGGCACGCGCAACCTCACTTGTCGTCTGCCCGCGCTCAGAAGCGCCAAGATCTGGCTCATGCTGATGCAGGGCTTCTCGCCGCGCAATCACCTGGTCCTCCTCCTCAAAGCGCACAAACGGGTAGCCAAGCCTGTCAAGACCGCGCTCAAAGTCCTGCAGGGAGCGGCGAAGGGCCTGCTGCGTGCGGCGCGCCCACACCTCGCACAGGTAAGTCTCAAAGCTGTCGCGAAGCTTGCGCTGGACGCGGTCAATACCAAAGCACTCCTCCATGGCGCGAATCTTCTCTTGTTGCTTGAACACGTCCTTGGCTTCCCTGAGCTTGTTCAGCTGCGCCTCCTCGCGGTGGTTCAGCTCCGTGAATGTCTTCATCTCCAGGCGCTCGCCGTTCAAGACGCAATTGGCGACACAGCACAACCCGTACCCAAGGTCCACAGGAAGCTTCCCGAAGCGTGCCTCGTGTACGGCCTGCGGGTAGCACAGGTCAGTCTTGCTGAGCACACCGATGCTGCTTGAGAGCATGTTGCACTCGCGAATGACGGCCAGAGCATCGTTGGCCGCCATGGAGCTCTGCACTGACATGACCGCGCACACGAAGCTGTTCTCCGCATGCGCGCGCAGATACCGCTGGGCAAGCTCCCTGATGGCGGTGACAGAGGAGGGGGGTGTGCGTGTTGTGTTGGGAGGAGGCGAGAGCATAAGAAGTTGTGCAAGTCAGGTGGCATGCGTACATGCACGCATGCATGGAGTGCCCAGCAGAATAGACAGGCATGTGCACACATACACACACACACACACACACACACACACACACACGTGTATGCATGTACCTCGTTTGTCGGGGGAGGTTTGCGTTTGCCGTGTCTGTGGCGACAACGCCTGGGAGATCAACCAGTGTCATGTTGGGGAAGTGTGGCCCGCTCAGCTCAACCACAACCTCATATCGCATCGACACGGGCCTGCGGTGCTGTTTGGGTTGGGACTCGCTCTTCTTGGCAAGCATACTGGAGCGGTGCTTGCCAAGCACACCCGAGCGGTGCTTGCCAAGGAAACCCGGGCCCTCCGGTTCCTCTGGCTGCTGCTTTTGCGGGTACTCCGAGTCGACGAGAAAGATCATTCGCTCCTCAATGGCCTCTTGCAGGAACTCGAGTGGCACGTAGTCCTCCATAATGGGCGCAGGTTTCCCGTGGTTGGTGCCCGTGTAGTTGTGGACAGTCGTGGACACCGGCGTGCGCGTGCCGTCGGGCTGAATCTCCACAGCGTAGACCTTTGGGATGCTGGCCTTGGCTTGCGTCTTGAGCTTCACCTTGACGGGCATGAGCGTGCAGATGTTGTCGCGGAAGGGGAAGATGGGACGCACGATGAGGCGGGAGAGGGTGAGGGACTTTCCATCACTTTCCTTGCCCACAACAATGACGACAGGCGCGTCATACTCCGGGCCAATGAGCTTCTTCTGGATGAGCGTCTTGAGGGATGGCGGGATGATAAGGTCCAGGCCATTCTGTGCATCAAGGGCAAGCTCGCTGTGGGCCTCTCGCTCCCGCATGATGCGCTCCCTCTCCTCTGCAGGGATTTCCTCCGGCTCTGTGTGTGTGTGAGTGAGTGAGTGAGTGTGTGTGTGTGTGTGTGTGTGTGTGTGTGTGTGTGTGTGAGTGAGTGAGTGAGTGAGTGAGTGAGTGAGTGGGTGAGTGAGGGGGTGAGTGAGTGGGTGAGTGAGTGTGTGGGTGAGTGTGAGTGTGTGAGTGTGAGTGTACGTGAGTGGGAGGCAGGTGCATATGTGCGTAATTCAAGGCCATGAGACGTCTTCGTGACGAAGAATCAAGTCTGTAGTCACATCACAAGGCGGCATTCAACAGCTGAGTCTGAGGAATCATCACACACGCATGCATACATACCAGGCACCGTGCCGTTCAGACGTGTGAACCATTCTTCAAACGTGTGGCGTTCATCTGGACATGTGTGTGTGTGCGTGAGGGTGCAAGCAATATTCATGAGTCACAATGGAAAGTAAAGTCCACCATCACCATCACCACCACCATAATCATCATCATCGTTTGCGTTGGCACCGCCATCACCACAGCTTGTCATTGACACACACACACATTGTACAGCAACTCACAATACTTTGATTGATAGAGCACGGGGTCCTCCTGTGAAGAACACGGAACAAAAAGCACACAATGAAAGCACGGAGCGGGGTCAGTCAACCATTGGTCAAGAGCGTATCACCAAACACCAGGACACGCACACAGAGACACTAGAGAGAGAGAGAGAGACGGACACAAGCAACCACACACACACACACACACACACACACACACACACACACACACACACACACACACACACACACACACACACACACACACACACACACACACACACACACACACACACACACAAACATCCGCACACACACGCACACAGTCGCACACAAGCAACCACACAAACACACAAACTTACACACACAAACACACACGGACACAAACATACACACAGGCGGACACCCGCGCAGACAAGGACCAAAATGCATGACCGGCACAGTCACACATGAACGAGGGAAGGAAGACTCACAATGACAGCGCATGTGATGGCGTCGCGCTCTGGGTTGGGCACATGTGCGGCCTCTTGCATGGTGGCGGCAGCGGGGAGGTTGGATGATGATGATGATGATGTGGAGTTGATTCTTCCCTCAGCGTGTATGTGGCAGAACGAAGGGAGGGTGGCTGACGCGCAAGACGAGACAGCAGTCGGGGGGAATGGCTTGCTTGTGTGTGTTTGTTTGTTTGTGTGGACAGCAGCTGTTTCTCGTCGTCTCTGTGCTCGGACACAACAAAAACCGGCGATGACTCATGCTTATATGTTTTTATGTGTCGCACTGTCGCGCGATGGGTGTGAGGGCTTTGCACCATACACGCAGACACCCGCACGAGTGCATGCACACCCTTGTTCTTCTTCTCCCTCTGTTGGCTAGTTTACAGGTGTTGTCCTCCTACTGCTTGTCCTGCTGCGTTAACGCTTCCACCATCTGTGCGTGCGTGCGTACGTGCGTGTGTGCGTGCGTGTTTGTGTTTGTCAGTGGCCTGTAGTGTGAATGACTCGCAGTGGCGAACACACATGCATGTGCATGCAGCCACGTCGAAACAGTACACGAAACACGCGAACAACCCCCCCCAACACACACACACACACGCACCTGCTCGAGCTGCATGTTCTTGAGTAGCGTCTCCTCCAACAATACCCGAAGCTTGTCATTGCTCTCCCTAACAGGTAAACCAAGCAGGCACACGAAGGCGACACGGTGGGGGAAGACACACACGGGTCAGTCATTCAGCTGGCACTCTTCACACGCCATGAACAACATGAACAACATGAACAACATGAACAACATGAACAACATGAACAACAGGAACAAGGATACATACACCCACGTGCAAACACACACACACACACAATCTGCCTTCACACCGTAGTTGCGCCTTATCGCCCGTCTTCTTGTGGCCTTTGCTCGGCGATGAATCTGGGCACGCAGCACAATGCAGAGGTGCAAGATGGTTGTCATGCACACGTGGCTGAACATCCAAGGTGGGAAGCACATACACGGAAGATGCATCATGCAACACATGCACGCACACACGCACGTACGCACGCACACGCACACCCATGTACGCACACACGCACTTGTTGATCCGGTCTGGATGACCTGGTCCACGAGCATGGCTTTTGCGCACAGCTCGCCCTCCAAGTCCCGCACCTTCGACTCCAAATAGCGGACCTGCACACATGCACACGCACAAGAACATGTATTGGAAGGGCGCGCACAATACGCACACACACACGCACGCACACACGCACACACGCACGCACACACGCGCACATGCGTATGCCTATTCTTCGCCATTGTTGCGCATGCTGGACAAGCGCTGCTCTCACTTTGTCGTTGAGCTCCTCCCGCTCGGTCTTGACTGCAACCATATCCGACAGCAGCTGCGCGTGCTCACTCTCGCTGATCTGCAAATCAACCTGGTTATTCCGTGTGTGTGTTTGTGTGTATGTGTGTGTGTGTGAGTTTGAGTGCATGAGTGTGTGTGTGTGTGTGTGTGTGTGTGTGTGTGTGTGTGTGTGTGTGTGTGTGTGTGTGTGTGTGTGTGTGTGTGGAGGGAGGGAGGAGAAACACACACACACACACATACACACACAGAGGCATACGTGTGTGTGAGTGAGGGTGTATGCGCGGTTCGCAAAGTGGCAAATCAAGCAAAAACTAAAGCTGTTTGCAAATGTACCGATCGAACGGAGTGCGCGTCCGATGCATTCAAGGAATCCAGTGACGGCGCCTCTCTGTGCACACGTGTACGGCCATGCACGTGTTGCGTGGGGCATCGTGAGGCAGGTGTCATCATCTGTGTGTGTGTGTGTGTGTGTATCTGTGGTGGTAGTGGTGGTGGCGGTGCGCGAGAGGCAGTGTGCCATTGCATAGGGCCAGCTACCGCATGATCAGTGACGATGATGACGACGAAGTACGACGATGATGGCCTGTGTACACACGTAGAAGCGAGAGGGGGAGACAACAGAGTGAGCACACGCGTACAATGCCGCTGCGGCTGACGTCATATCCACGGGCATGTGCACTTGCACGCACACATGCACATGCGCTCACTCTCAAGTCCTTTCGTTGCTTCACCGCAACCAACTCAACAACGCATCCACTTGACACCGGAATGTGCAACCGCTGTTGCCCGTACGCACCTCGTCGGGACACCGACGGAGAGCCCATCTGAGAGGCAGATCTGTCGCCTGTACACACGCATACATGATGGTGGTGGTGGTGATGATCATGATGATGATGGTGATGGTGAGCCATTTGCAAGTACTTTGACTTCTTTGACTACTTTGGTGAAGGTCTTCCATCAGAAACACACGCGAGCGCGTGTGAAGGTACATGCACGTGCATCCCAAACACACACCTGGCCGCTTGATCTCTGCGAGTTCGCGTTCGGCCTTCTCCGCCCGCCGCTGCTCGCGCTTCAGCTGCTTCTGCAGCTCTTTGATCTGGAAGACGAGGAGAAGGAGGAATTGCAACACAACACAAGGTGTCGTCGAACGCATGTGCAGAATGTGAGGTGATGCATGGAGGATGAATGTCTGATGGTCGCTGCAAAACAGGGGGGGAAACAATACATACATGGTAACATACATGAGATGCACACACACACACACATAACACACAGAACACACAGAACACACAGATGCATACACATACACACACACACGCACGCTGCATCGCGCAACACATATGCACACACAAACGAAGCAAATCGCTGCACGTACAAAAGCGGCCTCCTTCTTTGTCTTGGCGGCAATGGACTGCTCGCTCTGCTCAATGCGGGATTTGGCTTCATCGGCCCTCTTCTCCGCTGCAGCAACTTTCTCCTCCAACGCAACCCTTGACACAGCCGCGCGCTGTTTTCCGCCGGGGAGGGGGCAGTCGGCGGGAAGATGAGGAGGTGACACGCAGCATTGGGCACGGATGGCAAGTGCAACACACACACACACCTGTCATACGCACATACACCTGTCATACGCACACATACACACACCCATGCACGCGCACACACATGCGCACACACACACACACAGACACACAGACACACACAGACACACACACACACACACACACACACCTGTTTGGTTCGTGTGATGGCGGCGACGGCTAGGAATAGGACGCGTAGGCCACGGTCGCAGAGCTGCGAGCGCTGGGTGTTGAGGGATTGCTTCTCATCCTCAAGGGCCTCTGCCTTCGCCTCTGCTTCCTTCAGCTGTGCAGACAATTCTTGCTTCTCTTCCTCCACTTTGCTCGAAGCGGACACGCGCGCTTGCAACCGCGCAATTTCCTGGCAGTTCGCACACACACACACACACACACACACACACACACACACACACACACACACACAGAATGGTTGTCATTGTCCATGTGTGAACAGAATCAAGTACAGCGCGTACAATGACGCACACACACACACACACACAGAGCTCCCCAGCGTTACCACGTGCACACGAACACCGGCCTGCAACGAACCTGCTGGTGCTTGTGTGCTTGACGGTCGTTGGCATGGAGGGCGTCGTCCCGCTCCTTTTGCACTGCTTTCATCTTCTCCTCGTGTTCCGCCTTCAGTGCATCCATCTCCCTCGTGTGCCTGCAAGTCAAGACAATGGTTGTGTGTGTGTGTGTGTGTGTGTGTGTGTGTGTGTGTGTGCGGGGAGTTGTGAGCAGACCATGGGAGCTACATGTGACGCAAGAGGGGAACACGATTATCTCCACAGTAGCCAAGGCCATCATCACACAGCATCACCACTGCCCAGCGTCCTGTTACTTTGCAAGCTGCTCCTGCTGCTGTTTGCTGAACTCGTCCACCTGCTCCTTCCATTTCTCCACATCCTGCAATCAAAGCAGATACGCATGCGAATGTAAGCCGTGTGTATTTGTATGTGTGTGTATTTGTATGTGTGTGTATGTGTATGTGTGTGTGTGCACATGCACGTCGACATTTACCTTGTTGAGCTGTTCGATTTTCTGCTTGGAGTCATCGGCGTTGATTTCCTCTCGCAGCCGCTCCGCCTCTGCAGTGCATGAACACATGTACGCGGATCGTCAGCGCGCAACAACGAAGAGCAGCGCACGACAAACGCAACACACAGGCGCACACATGAAAGCCACATGAACGCATGAACGCAACTGCAGACTTGTGCTTTGAGAACATGTCGCACACACACACACACACACACACACACACACACACACACACACACACACACAAAACACACACACACAAAACACCACACGACACGATGACATGATCGGCAGTACGGACCGGCCTGTGCTGCTGCCGCTTCCTCGCGTGCGGTCGCAAGTTTTGCCCGCGTCTCCTCCAACTCTCGCGCTCGCGCATCCAAGTCCGCAGCAGCATCCTGGCCGCACGTGGTGCACATGTATACATGTGTGAGCGTGAGTGTGTGAGTATGTGTGAGGGCGAGAGTGCGCACGTGTATTTCATGACGTTCGCTTCTGCAGCAGCTGGCTCGCACACCAGCACAGCAGCCTACAGATCAACAACATAAAACGCATTCAAACCGCATTCATACAGGGTGACCACCAACCTTGTGAGATGAGAGGGATTCCTTGAGGTGCTCCAATTCGGACTGCACCTCCGCCAATTTGGACGCCGCTTCCTCCTCTTTTTCTTGCATCATTTTCTTCATGGATTGCGTTTCGTTGTCCGCGTTCAACTGCAGCGCTTCCACTTCGCTCTCGTGCTTCTTCTTCAGCGCCTCCATCTCCTGAGCACATTCGGAAGCAACGACAGGCAACGGCCGGGAGACAGATGCGTGTCAAGGTGAGGAGAAGAAGTTGCAGACTGCAATGGTTGCTTGCACATTGACCGCATCAGAGCACAAACACACACAAACACACACAAACAAAAAACACAAACAAACACACACACACAAACAAACAAACAAACAAACACACACACACACAAACAAACAAACAAACAAACACACACACACACAAACAAACACACACACACAAACAAACAAACACACACGCACACACAAAGCCACCACCCTCTCCACTCCGTGTTGAAGGTGACGGTGGGGCCACCCGACCTTCGTGTGCTGTTGGTACATGTCCTCCTTCTCTTGCTGCAATTCCTGCAGCGCCGCCTGCTTTCGCCTGTACTTCTGCTGCAGCCTGGCACGTAAACATGTGAACGGATGAATAGTGGGTGGTGGTGAGAGGAGACGGTACACGCAGCACAAATGACAACCAACAACGCGACGACGCCTCCCTCGCACTCACACGCACACACACGCACACACACAACATGCACATGCACGACACCACATGCACACATGATCGCGAGCGTGGCTGGGAGTTGCAAGAGCGCAAGAACGCACTCGTCCAGCTCGGCAGCGTGGGCGGCCTTATCCGCGTCAATTTGTCGTCGCGCGTCGTCGACAGCGGCGTTGGCGGTGTCAAGCTGCTGCTGCAGCTGCTGCGACGACACACGCAGCTCGCTGTTCTCCTGGCGACCGCACAAGAAAGGGGGGGGGAGGGGAGGGGAAGAAGAGTGGATCGTGTGAGTAAGGGATCATGGCGGTGGAGAGAGCACAGCGCTGCTGGTGTGACAACGACGGTACTGTAGACAGAACAGTCACCGCACGTGTACTGCCTAAGCCTCCGCACGGCACAATTTGACGCCACACGCAGCACAAGCAGCACGCCCCCTCTTTGTCTGTGCACACCTCTGCCAGCTGCTTTGCACGGTCCTCCTGCCGCTGGCACATTCCCTTCAGCTCGGCGTTGACCTGTTCCAGCTGCTGCACCCTGTGTGTGTGGGGGGGGGGAACAGAGGGTGTGTGTGTGTGTGTGTATGTGTGTGTGTGTGTGTATGTGTGTGTATGAGAGTGTATGTCTAGACAACGCGCAACGGCAGAAAGTCGTACACCCTGTACGCCATAGATATCATCCTACACAAAAACACACACGCAATTGCAAGACGCACCTGACGCGAATGGCATCACTGGACGAATCATCCGCTGTGTTGCTGTCGTCCTGATCGGCGCTTTTGTCCTGCGGTCCGTCTCCGCCATCACCAGAGCCAACAGCCCTGCAATGCAAGTCGTGCGTGTGTCGTGTGTTGGCGGGGAGTATGTGTGTGCGTGTGTGTCGTGATATTGTGCCGGCCACCTCTATGAGATAAATTGATGAAGAGGAGAGTGGCACAGGCACACAGAACCAGGCACACACACACACACACACACACACACACACACACACACACACACACACACACACACACACACACACACACAGGGTGAGCGTACAGTTTGCTTTCGAGGAGTTCGCGGTACTTTGCCTCCGCCTCCGCCAATTGGGACGAGAGCATCGTGTTGCGCGCCTGCATAGATGATGGTGAGGGTGATGGTGAGGGTGATGATGAGGGTGATGGTGGTGAGATGACACAATCAACGGTGGATGGAATCAAGGTTGTGGTGGCGAACACGGCTGATATGAAGTATCGCTTTGGCATGCAGACACTCTGGTGTGTTATCCCACCCTGTACACACGCACACGCACACACACACACACGTGCACACGCACACACGCACACACCTGAAGGTCTGCGATTTTTGCGTCTGTGTCTGCGCGCAGGTCTTCGACTTGCTTGAGCGCAGCTGTGAGCTGCTCCTGCAGTGCGCCGTCCGCCTGCTGGTGCTGGTGGTGGTGATCGCCATCTGTGCCCTTACGCAACCGGTCAACCTCCGCTTGAAGCGCCTCGTTCTGCCCAGAAATCTGACGCACGCATACACGCACGCACGTAAATACACATGAAAGAAGAGAAAGAGAGTGGAGGAGCTGGTGAGGGGGGTGAAACGTGCACAGCAAAGGTGCACAGCAAAGGTGCACAGCAAAGGTGCACAGCAAAGGTGCAGCCGCGAGCTGTGACTGGTATCCTGTCACTTGTGTCATGGAGCATTGAGATGAGGCAAAACAAAGCAGGCAGCCGAGTCAACAGCAGTTGTGCATGCCCCACCTCTGCCAGGTTCTCCAACAGGCCTTTGTTTTGCAGCTCCAGCTCTTCCTTCTCAGCCTTGATGTCGTGGTGCGGACAGCAGCAGTGTTGGCGTGACACACGTGGATACATGCCGAAGTTTGCACATGCATGAGCCCAGTTCAACGATTGCTTCCTCATGGTACACACACGCACGCACGCATGCACGCACGCACGCACGCACGCACGCATGCACACACACGTTCTTCGAACGCACTCTGCGCACCTGATGCAGGTCGATCATGGCCTTGGTTTCCCGTGCTTTCTTCGACTTGGCAATGGCCTGTGCAATGTCACAAGAGGTTGGGTTGAGCTGACTGGCATCGACGCGGCAGGCAGCGCTTGCTATACTTCCAGTGGCTTTTCACAAGTGCACTGACACCCAACAGGCATCACAAATATGCACACGACCACACGTGTACATGCACACACAAACGTACATCACACCTGCACACACATCACACACACAAGCACATGCATGCAACGCACCTTGTTCGCCTTTGCCAAGTCCTTGGAGAGTTTCTCCACTTCGCTCTTTGTTGCCTCCAAAGCTGCATGTGCGGGAACATGGAAAGTGAAGGGTAAATGGTGGTGTGTCAAGCCGGCACGCAGTGATGCGCCAAACCAACAAACAAACACGCGAAAAGTCAGCACGAAAGCAAGCCGTGCATTTGGCACAGTGCTCCATACCACGCGAGGCTGCATCCCGCTGCTCCTCGGCATGGTATTTTTCCTCTTTGCACTGCATGAGCATGGTCTGCAGCGCAGCAAAGTCATCTGCGCCAAGCTCCGCCATGGCGGCAGTTTCTGTGTCCTCACAGCGTCTGTCACTTCTTTCTCGCAAAAAGATGGCGTGTGCTGAGCGTGCACTGTGCTGTGTGCGCCGCAAGCAGCCACTCGCTCTCGCCTCGCTGTCGATCTATGCAAGCAGCCGCACACAGAGACAGAAGAAGAAGAAGCAACACAGGGTAGAGGAGGAGGAGAGGAAGCGCAAACCAAAACAAGCAGTGGTGCTGGTGCGGTGATTGTTGGCGATTTGTGGTTGACATGCACCAAATTTCCTCGAACTCAACGTTGATGACAACGAAGATGGCTGATCGAAACAGCAAGAGCAGGAGCAGTGGCAGCAGAGGTGGCAGTGGTGGTGGCAGTGGTGGTGGGAGTCGCCTCGGGAGCAGTCAAGGGCGCAAGGATGACCCCGAACTCATGCTGGAAAAGGGAGACTACGAAGCATTGATGGTAAGCGTCTGTGTCTGTGTGTGTCTGTGTGTCTGCTGTGCGTGTGTGTGTCTGTGTGTCTGTGTGTCTGCTGTGTCTGTGTGTCTGCTGTGTGTCTGTGTGTGTCTGTGTGTGCCGGCGTCACGGTGTACGTACATGCTGTGCTTGATGTTTCAAGCTGCACGCTCGCATGAGCTCCCTCATCGTTAATCCAACTGACCGTCGCCACATCCCAGGCTTTTGCAAAGCACGTTCGAGTGCCTGCGTTGGACCGATCCATTGTCAAACCAGTGTGCGTTGACGACTTGGAAGTCAAGGATGAGGAAGACGTTGCCAAGCAGGTCAGACAACACCCCAACAGCATGTGTGTGTTTGTGTGTACGTGTGTGTTGTGTGTGTGTGTGTGTGTCTTGCATGCTGGACAAGGTGTGCCGAGCATTCTCGTGGCATTCATGCATCCTCACACCCGCGTTCATTCACAAACACACACACACATGTACACACGCATGTACACACGCATGCACACAACCATTAGGCTTCAAAGGAGGGTGTGCACAAAAGCGGCAAGACGGGCCGCACCAAGCGAGATGATGTGGTGGTCGAAGAAGAAGAAGCAGAAGAAGAAGCAGAAGTGGAGGAAGATATTGCTGTCACAGATTCGCCGCAGGGACGAAGACGAGGCGAGGACGCAAAGTACCCAGCGTCAAGGAAACCTCACCAGAGCCGTCGTGGCGAAGCTGCTCACGCTGACGACGACGAGGATGACGCTGTGCATTCCGAGGTTGAAGAGGAGATCTTTGAGGACGACATCCCAGAGACTGTGCTCTCTCCATAGGCCAGCCATGTGCGTGCGTGTGTGTGTGTGTGTGTGTGTGTGTGTGCGTGCGTGCTTGTGTGTGTGCGTGTGTGTGTGCGTGTGTGTGTGTGTGTGTGTGTGTGTGGGCGTGTGTGTACGTACGTGTGTCTTGTGTCGTGTAAGTGCCCTTTCCTTCCTTGGCATCCTACCTGAATCCACGTTTGTGTTGTCTGTTCGCCCTCATTGCATATTCCATATTTCCAAACCCCCTCCCCCTTACACCCCTCGTGCATTCGTCGGTGTGTGTTGGTCCTCTTGCACCTTGCTTGGCCACTTCCTGCTGTACATATCATCATGTGGTCAAATGGCTTTCATTCATGCGACCAAGACAAGGGCATACTGAAGAGTGCGAGAGTGCGAGAGCAACCAGGGGTTTGGCGACAAGGGAACCTGAAGGGTCCCTCGACAAGCGCACAAGTGATGCTGTGGCGCTTCACGGTTCAACGGCAACGTATGCAATGAATGTACAAGTGGATTAAAGGGTGTGTTCACTTGACAACAGATACATGAAGGCACGGACGGATGACACAAAACTGTAACCAAGTGAGAGTGGAATGGTCAGCTGCGGAGAGAAGACGCAGAAGGATGACGAGTAACGAGGGAAGCACTGGGTCTCACACAAACGAGGAGGCGTGAGACACTGGGATTAGTCGTGGCACAGGACAGACCGGACAGGAAGACACTGCGAGGTGTTGTGTGTGCTCGTCGTAGCTGTGAGGAGGCTGCATGCATGGCGGCGTGGTTCCTTGTACTCGCGTGTGCTCGCCTGCGCGCTCGTTTGGCCCTCTTCCTTCAGTAGCCTGTGTTTGCATGCAAGGGCGCACAAGTTGGGACCGTGCAAGCAGCGTGAGAACACAGCGAGACAACGCAGGCAACGGAGGCAACGCTGATGGTTGAGAGGAAGGCCGAGAATTCTGCTACATGTTGGTAGCCGAGTTTTTCGCACTGGTGTCGTGTCATCCATACACACGCGAGACCACCCATGAGAGGACACACTTTCGCTCTCGCTGGATGCCTTGATGGCCGATCGCAGGATGGTCTTGATGTCCTCAACCGCAGTCTCGATGCGATCAAGCTGCCAAAAGAAGCAACCCAAAGCATGAATTTGAACGTCGAGAAGAGATGTTCGAGCAGTTTGCAGAGCGGAGATGGGATAAAGGCGTTTGCACACAGGTACACGTCAAATGGCAGCGTCCAGCATGCAAGAACGCTACAGCGCTCGGCAGCTTCACAGCCGTTCCCCAGACTTCAGTATCCCTTGCACTCTACTTGAACTGACGAGTCAAAAGGTACCTTTGACTCCATGGTGTCGACGCGGGTGCCAAGGTTGGCCACTGCCGCAGACAAGTCGTGGGTCACCTGCAGCATTGTGCATGTTGGATGCATGGTGACTTGGTGAGAGATGTCCCCTCAACACACAGACAAGGTACAAAACAAACGCGAGGACTAGAGAGGAAGACTCATCCAGCCACAGACTACCAAGTCGCTGCAGACGCTGAAGATGAGGCCCTCGCTGCCCTGTCGCTGCCACAGGCACGCAGGTACACAAACAAACGACCATATCTTCCCGTGTTCGCTTGAGCGTACCTGATCCTTGGTCTCTGGATCCATTGTGGTGCTTGAGGACGATGGGGGATGTGAGCAAACAAGGCTGGGTGGTATTCGCTGGGTGGGTGGTGGTGTTGGTTCGCCTCCTGTCTTCTTTCCTTTTCTTGTTTGCTTTGCCTGCAAGCTCCAACGGCAGTTTCTGCTGACATCAGCGAAAAACAGCAGGGAACCAAACGAACGGATATGGCTGGTGTTGTCTCGGACAGCTCCCGCTCTGTTGGGGACGAGGGTGGTGGTGGTGGCAGTGGTGGCCGCAAGCACAGGCGCGGCCGTGGCGGCGGAGACTGGACCTTTGTACGTGCATGTGTGTGTATTGTATGTGTATGTGCATGTGTGTATTGTGTGTGTGTGTGTGTGTATGTGTGCGTGTGTGTGCATGTGTACGTGTGTATGTGTGTGTGTGTGTGTTGTGTGTGTGTGTGTGTGTGTTGTGTGTGTGTGTGTGTGTGTGTGTGTGCATAGCACGTTGACGATCTCATCGGTGGCTCACATTCAAACACACACAACACACACGCACACACACACACACACACTTTCCTTGCTGCAGCGAGAGTACATGGAACAGAAGAACGAAAAGCTCAACCAACAGCACGAAGACGGCCGCACCTCTGTGTAAGAAACACCGTGCACGCACCACCCAAGAACACCCCATGCCTTGCCTTTTGGTTTGCACATACGCTGAACCTTTCATACACCACGCTTCTCACTCAACAACCAACAACAACTACGCATCAGGTCCGACATCTTCAAAGGCATCTCCATCCACGTCAACGGCTTCACAGGTATCACACACGCACACACAATGTACAGAGCATGTCATCTGGTCAAGAGCGAGAAGCTGACACACAGCATGGATGTGCCTCACGCTACCTCACGTTTTGTACACGCACGTGCACACGCACGCACGCAATGATTGCAGATCCGCCAGCCGAGTCCCTCCGGCGCATGATGCAGCTGCATGGCGGGGGTTATGTTGTGTACCCGACAAAGACGAACGTCACTCACATCATCGCCTCCAATCTCTGCGGCGCAAAGCTCAAGCAGCTCGGGTCAGTGCGTCAGCACACGATTACTGTTGATGTGGAAGTGGGAAGTTGGACAGAAAAGTTGGCTAGCAAGTGACACGCGGACGCGTTTGCTCCTCATGTTTACAATTGCAAGCCTCCACATACACACACACACACACACACACACACACACACACACACACACACACACACACACACACACACACACACACACTCACACACACACATACACACACTCTCACACACACGCTCACACTCACATACACACACTCACCCACTCCATCACACACACACACGCTCCAGCAACCAGAAAGTGGTGTCGGCGAAGTGGATCACAGACAGCATTGAGAGCGGGCAGCGACTGCCTGTGGGTCCGTATCTCCTGTACAACCGCGAAGGCCGCGACCAGCAGCAGCTCATCTTCAATCAACTGCAACCCTCCACCTCAAACACCACCGGCACCAAAAGCGCCGCCGCCATCACCAGCAGCACCACCACTGCAAAGGCCACAAACAGGCCTGTTGAGGCCACAGCCGCCACCGCCACCGCAACAATGGCCACGCAGACGGTGAAAGCGGAAGAGAGTGGACAGCCAGGCACCGATACAGCTACAGATGCAGACACATGTGGCGGCAACACAAGGCCAGAATTGGCTGTGCGCCGGAGCTTTGGGCACAAGACGGGGCTGGGGCTGGATGCCTCACGTGCAATGGGCACATTTGAGCAGCGACACCTGCAGAGCATACGCACCACACGTGATGATGGCGATCAAGGGGAAGTGCAGGGCGCGAAGGCGGAAGAGGAGGAGGTGGTGGTGCATGAGCAGCACGAAACTGCAAGGAAGCAACCGGTAGCAACAGCAAAGGCAGTGGCAACAACATCAGCAACAGCAACATCAGCAACAGCAACGTCAGCAACAGCAACATCAGCAACAGCAACGCCAGCAACAGCAACATCAGCAACAACAACGACTTCAACGACTGCACCAACCACTACACCACCAACAACCACTACTACTGCCACGACGACTGCAGCGTTACCAGGGCCGACACCTGCAGCGCAAGCAGCATCGGTGGTGAAGGCTGAACACGATGTCGAGGTTGCATCAAAGGCGAAGGGCAAAGACATTGTGGGCCAGGACGTGGCAAAGGAAGGTCAAGATGAGAAGAAGGAAGAACGGAAGAAGGAATCAGACGACACGGGACAGCCATCTTCCCAGCCGCATCATGAACCGAGGAAGAGCAGTGACGCAATCCAAGCACAACAGCACGCGAGCGAGCAGCGACCAGCAGCAGTGGCAGCAGTGAAGACAAATCAATGCTCTGGAGTGGAAGGATGTGACCACACAACAAACAACACACCCCCCGCGGCAACAGCAGGTGCTGCGGCTGAGGCGACGAAGGCTGGCGGGACGCACGCGCCCGTCGCTGTTGCTGTGCAACAACAACAACAACAACAGCAGCAGCAGCAGCAGCAGCAGCAGCAGCAGCAGCAGCAGCAGACGCGCCGTGCACCGGTGCGCGTGTATTCGGGGCCCAACCCGCATCCGGACGAGCCGTCCAACGCCCTTGATGACCTCGCTCGCTACGGCAACAAAGTGTCCGGCAACAACCCAAACTTCATCCAGGACTTCTACTCCCAGTCCAGATTGCATCACCTGTCAACCTCCGGGAACCATGCGCGCGCGTTTATTTGCCGCATTCAGCGCGAGTATGCGGCAGATGGCAAGGCGCCATGGAGGTTCAGCACAGCGAGTGACGCCAATCGAGTCATCGCACACATTGACCTCGATGCGTTCTTTGTTGCCGTTGGTCTTCGTACTCGCCCGCACCTCCGTGACAAGCCTGTTGTGCTTGCACACGGCCCGCGCACAGGAAATGGGGAAATATCTTCCTGCAACTACATTGCCCGCAAGTTTGGCATTGGTGCCGGCATGCGCGTGTCACGTGCGCTGGAGCGCTGCCCAGACCTGCAGGTGATCCCGTACGAATTTTCGCTGTACAAGGAGGCCTCTGAGCGGTTCTACCACATTCTGGCGCGACACACCATCCGAATCCAGGCAGTGAGTATGGACGAGGCATACCTCGACCTCACCGGCATTGCACAACCAGACCACCCAGTGCAACACCACCAACAGCAACAACAGCAGCAACGGCAACGGCAGATGGCAGGGCGTGGTGCTGGCCAGAGTACGACAGACATGAACACTGACACTGATAGCACCGACACCAAACACACAGGCAACGTCGCTACTGCTGATGGCGGTAGTGGTGATGGCGGCGATGGTGGAAATGACGGCAACGGCGAGCATGACAATCATGATGAGGAGGATGACAACGATGATGATGATGATGGCGATGATGTTGTACCGAGCTTCAACGACCCAGCGCCGTCAAAGCCACTGGCGAGCGAAGTTGTTGCGCAGATTCGGCGGGAGATTGAGGCAGAACTACACATCACAGCCTCTGCTGGCATCGCACACAACATTTTGCTTGCGCGCATGGCCACGCGCCGTGCAAAGCCAAACGGACAGGTGAGTTTGATTGCATGCGGCAAGCTGTTGCTTGTGCGCTTTGCGTGTACATGGTTTGCAGTTGTGCGTGCATGAGTCTTATGCTGGGTTGTGTGCATGCTCGTGCATGTGTGTGTGTGTGTGCGTGTGCGTGTGCGTGCGTGTGTGTGTGTGTGTGTGTGTGTGTGTGTGTGTGTGTGTGTGCTCACATGCTCACCTCGCAAGTCCTTCGCCCCCCACCCAACCAACTCACACGACACACACACACACACACACACACACACACATCACATCACAACACACACACACACACATCACATCACAAACTCACATCACAAACACGAACGCACATGACAACCACAAACGCACACAAACACGAACGCACATGACAACCACACGCACACGACACTCACACAATCACACATCACAAACACGAACGCACATGACAACCACAAACGCACAACACAACATCACCATGCACCGCAGGTGTATGTGGCGCCTGGCCAGGTTGAAGGGTACCTTCGCGACGAGCCCATTGGCAACCTGCCGGGTGTTGGCTGGTCCACGGAGAAGCGGCTGCAGCAGCAAGGCATCACTGCCTGCCACCAACTCCGGCGTTTCCGACTGCATGAGCTGCAGTCTGAGTTTGGCGACAAGACGGGCCAGGCGCTGTACAACGCGTGTCGCGGGGAAGACACGCGCCCGCTCAAGGAGAACGAGCCACCAAAGTCTGTGAGCGTGGAGATCACGTGGGGCGTGCGCTTTGCTGAGCAGCATCAGGTACACGCGTTTGTGCGCAATCTGGTTGGCGAGGTACACAAGCGCCTGCTGCTCGCGGAGCGCCTTGCGTCACGCCTCACCCTCAAGGTGAAGGTGAAGCAGCCTGGCGCGAAGCAGCCGTACAAGCTGTTGGGCCACGGCCCCTGCGATGACCGCAATCGCACCATGAGCTTCAGTCGCCCGACAAAGGCCGAGAAACTGCTGGCAGATGCCGCTGTGAAACTCTATGAAGCTCTGAAGATTCCTGCCCTCGACGTTCGTGGCGTGGGCGTCTCCTTGCACAAGCTCAGCCCCGATCTCTCTCTGCCCGGCGCACGTGAGCACTACAAGCACCACCAGCCCCTCCACCCGCAGCAGAAGCAGCTAAACTCTTCCTCCTCCTCTTCGTCTTCTTCTTCAGCAGCAGCAGCAGTAGCAGGCGTGGATCGGCAGCAGAGAAACGTGTTTGACTTGCTTCAGACGACAGTGCCACGCACCCCATCATCACCATCATCGCCAAGCGCTGCAACGCCTGCTGCTCCTGGTAGGAAAGACAGCGAAGCAGGGAAAGGGCGTGCTGCTGGTGGTGATCATGAGGGGGATGGCGATGGCGAATTGCTTGCAAGCACGGAGCTGCCGTCTGGGCGTGAGAGCAGTGAGCAGAGGGCGGTATCAAGGCAGGGCCGTGCTTCGCCTTCGATCACTGCGCTTCGTGCTGTCGTCAAAGAACTGCAGGCGAAGGTAAGACGATGTTCTTTCACGAGAGCCAAATGTCCGTCCGTGAGTGCTACTTGTTGGGGAGGGGGATGGGATGATGGTGGGGACGTGTGGTTGTTTGTTTGTTTTGTGTGTGAGTTGTGTGTGTGTGTGTGTGTGTGGCTGTTTGTTTGTTTGTGTGAGTTGTGTGTGTGTGTGTGTGTGAGTTGTGTGTGTGTGTGAGTTGTGTGTGAGTTGTGTGTGTGTGTGAGTTGTGTGTGAGTTGTGTGTTGTTTCCATTCTCCCCATGTGTTTCCAACACACACACGACACGACACAACACACTTGTGCAGCGCGTGGATGTGCTTGTGTTGCTGGAACTGCCGGTGTATGTTCAGCGCGACGTTGCGAAGGAGCACAAGGTTTCCAAGCGCTGTCTTGAGACGCTGTCTGCGTTCTCTCGCGAGGACGTTCGCGCAGTCATGACGGCAGTGAGCCAGGCATGCGACAAAGCTGTGGTTCTCGACGATGACGATGATGACGCTGATAACAGCGATAATGACGAAGACGGTGGTCACGGTGGTGTTGACGGCGAGGATGGTGCTGCTGATCGCCGTGGCGTCACCCGCACCACCACCACCACCACCACCACCACCACTCGCACGACCAGCGACAGCAGCGTGCATGAAATTGCAGCGAAGGGAGGTGATTTGGTGTCCTCGGTGCCTTTGGCAGGTGGCTCGACGGTGTTTGAGATTGCATCGGCCGCCGCCAGCGCTTCCTCCTCCCAATCAGCCAAGACGCCATCGCAGACCGATGCTGCTGCTGCACCCAACAACGCCGGCGACAGGGAGAGCCGTGCTGGCAACACCAGCGCTCATGACCACAATGCCACCACCGCCACCACCACCGCTGCCATCAATGCCACGAGCACGACAGGAGGCACTGGAGAAACTGGCATTGCTGCTGCTGACACAACCAATGCTGTGATGCGTGGGGCAACGAGTTTGCATGTGTCTCGGTCCACAACGCCATCACCGACGAAGGGGCGGCGACGTCGGTCGCACAGCGCCATTCCATTCACATCCGAGACAGTGAACATCGATGACGATGACGATGAGGTGGCTGTCAGAGGTGAGGACGACACAGAAGGTGAAGGGGTAGGACAGAAACAGCAACAGGAAGTGCAAGAACGACAACAATTGCAGCAACAGCGGCAGCAGCAGACAAGCCGCGCTGCCACCACGACTACAACATCGTCGTCACCATCGCCGTCGTCATCCTCGGCGCAGTCACCATCAAGGAGAGCAGCCCGAGGCAACACTGCGTCCACAGCACCAGGCAGCAACAGCAGCAGCAACAGTGGTGATTTGGCGTTTCCATCGCCGTCGCAGTGGAGCAAAGACGTCCTGGCTGAACTTCCACCTGAAATGGTCAAGGAGCTGCAGTCGTTCTCGCGGCGCCAGCAAAAGCAGCCGACAACACTTCAGCAGGCGCGATCGTCATCATCTGTGGGGAAGAGGACCAAGAAGGGGGGTCGGCGCACGCCAACAGCGACAGGAGGAGGAGGACCAACATCATCGGCACCGCGCAGTCCAAGCAAACGCGGCAAGCGCGGCGCACCCAAGTCGCCAACACGACGAACAAAAAAGGCAAAGCGAGGTGGTGACAAGGCAGCAGGTGCCGGCGAGGGCGATGGCGGACGGGCGCTGCTGACCAACCGCCGCTCCATCTTTGAAACCGGCATTCTTGAACAGCTTGCAAGCAAGCGCCACAAATCCCAGGAGGACAACGGTGCGAGCGACGCAGCAGACAGGCGTGTCAGCACTTCCCATGGGCATGGTGATGAGCATGAGGAGGATGAGGAGGAGGATGTTTGCGTGATGGATGAGAGCACGGCAGGTGCACGTGTCGACGGCCGCAACCCAAGTGTCACCGTGGGCACCAGCAACGGAAGCGGTGGTGGTGGTGGTGGCTTTGACATCACTGCGTCGCAGATTGACCCCAGTTGCCTGCAGGCACTGCCTGAGGAATTGCAGCGGGAGATTCGCGCGCAGTACAACCTCTCTTCAAAGGGGAGGCGGAGTGATGGTGGTGTAGGTAATGGCATGCATGAGGGACGTGAACTTCAGGGAAGAGGTACAGCTGGAATGAACGGCAGCGTGCGTGATGCTACTGCTGCTGCGACTGCTGCAACTGGTGCCAAGTCGTCGTCTTCATCGTCAGCATCATCGCCAACGCGTTCGCCGAGGCGAAGGCGAGGAGGGGCCGGCGACGCAGCAGTTCCCGCGGTTGTCCCTGACAACGTTGCCGTGTCTGCGCTCCGGTTCGTGCGAGCGATGAATGGGCCCCGGGCACTGGACACATCCACAGATGGCAGCGGCAGCGGTGCGTGTGTTCCGAACGTGCTTGGCTGCTCGAGCATTGTCACGGTTCGCATGATGGTGCGAGACTGGTGTGAGACGTGTGCACAGCCGCTCCCCTTCCAGCGTGAAGCGCTGTCAACGTTCGTTGTCGCCCTTGCGCGTCGCAAGGAACTGGAGCAAATGAAGTCGATCCTACAGCACGCGCGCCGCTGCATGGCTGCCCACCAGCACAACACCAATGGTGGTGGTGGTGGTGGTGGTGGTGGTGACACGTGGACGGGGGTGTTCAATGCCGTGTTGTCTGCGGCAAATGAAGTGATGCGGGAGCTCTTCTCGTGCCACCTCGCCATCGACCCGCTGTGACTTTGCGGAGTGGGAGAAGGAGAAGGGGGAGAAGCAGGCGTGAAACGGATTGTGGTGTGTGTCTGTGTGTCGGTCTGTGTGTGTGTGTGTGTGCTAACGCGCTGTTGGTATTGGAACATGGTTCTTTGCAATTGTAGTTGAACTGTACAGTTATCTGGCATAAACGGCCCATCTCAGTGTGAATCGCAATGAAGGAAAGAAAGGAAAAAAGAAGGGGGAGAACAAGAATTCCAGTCACACACACACACACACACACACACACACACACACACACACACACACACACACACACACACACACACACACACACACACACACACACACACACACACACACACACACACACACACACACACACGCACGCACACACACACACACGCACGCACACACGCATGGAGACTGGAGCGCTCATGAGATGACGCGATCATCGATGATGTGCAGGTTTGTCAGCCAGTCAATGTACGTGTTGAATGCAAGGAATCCTGTGCTGCCAGGGTCGAGGCCTGGCCACAAGCGGGGGGAGGGGGGAGGGGGAGAACATGATCGGATCGGAAGCGGTGGTCAGAACGAGGAGAGAGCAGACGGTAAGTGTTTGTGAATGTGTGTGTGATGGTGTGTGTGAATATGTGTGTGTCTGGGTGTATGTGTGTGTGTGTGTGTGTGTGTGTACTCGTGTGTGTGTGTGTGTGTGTGTGTGTACTCGTGTGTGTGTGTGTGTGTGTGTGTGTGTGTGTACTCGTGTGTGTACTTGTGTGTGAATGTGTGTGCGTGTGCGTATGTGCAGAGCAGGTGGACGGACCTTTTCGGATTGCTTCCTCCGTTTTGCGTGTGAGTCCAGTGGAGCGCAACCCGTTGATGAGGCCAGACAACTTTTCATCGGACACCTGCAGGGGAGGGAAGCAAATGGAGTGAGTTGTGTGTGTGTGTGTGTGTGTGTGTGTGTGTGTGTGTGTGTGTGTGTGTGTGTGTGTGTGTGTGTGTGTGTGCGTGTGTGACAGGGTGTGAACGGCGTCTGTCACAAGAAGAGGTGGATTGTTGGGTGGTTGGTTGATGGATCGATTGTCTCACCTTGCCAGTCCTGTTTGGATCGTTGCGCAAGAAAATGCCCACAGCGCTGCAGTTGAGCACGCAAACACCAGAGGATTGTGAGATAAGAGAACGATGAAAATGCAGAATGTTGCACGTATTGACGTGTGCAAAGCAACATGCATGCACACATGCACACATGTGAGCATGCATTCAGACATGTTCAGCCATGCGGCACACACCACACAACGTGCACAGTGAACGCTGCATCGAGGGAACAAAGCAACAAGTGCTCACTCGTGTCGTTTCTTGAAGGCCTGATCGTCGAGGAGATAGAGCCATGATCGCGAGGACTGGCACCACCTGTGTAGTTGTTGGGCGGGTGGACGACATCAGGCAGCGTGATGAGATGCGCATGAGGTCGTGATGAAAGAAGACAATGGAAGCAAGCGCTAGGAAAGCGGGGACTCGAGATGCACAGCCACACAAGCGCACACAAACGAACCAATAACCACACACCCACAGACACAACCACACACTCACATACACAACCACGCACACAATACCATGAGACGAGGTCACGGAAGGAGAAGAGGTTGGTCCCGCTGCTGTCGAGAATGACGCGCGCACCGTCCAGTTCGGGGCCGAGCCAGTAGCCGAGCTGGTGACAGTGGTGGAGGTGATGGTGATGACGGTGGTGGTGGCGTGCGCACGTGTGAGTCAGGATTGTTGGATGAGATTGTAATGGCAACGGGAGCTCTTTCGCTCTCTGTTCGCTGCACATATGTGTCACACACAACACACAACACACACACACACACACACACACACACACACACACACACACACACACACACACACCTCGTAGCAGATAACTTTGAGGTCGTTGATGGAGGCGAGGCCGTCCTCGGCGCAAAACTTGTCAAACACGTGTTCAGCTGCAGACTTGCTGTCGCCGCCGCGACGAGGAAACGCAGTGCCAAAGCTGTGCACGACTTTGTAGCGCGCCTTCCGCTCTTTGCTCTGTTTGGGGGGGGGGAGAATGGAAGGGGGAGGGAGGGTCGAAAGGATTAGTGTTGCAGGAACGTTTGGGCACACGCAGTACAAAATCAGAACGCAGTGCAAGTTCAGACGCGTACACACACACACACACACACCTGTCGTTGTTCAATCTCCACGCGTTCGCCGCGGCTGAGGGGTTCGATTGGCGCCGGCTGGTTGCTGACGAGTTTGTGGACGCGCGGTCCTCCCTGACACACAAAATGCAGCATGACGCAATCGACAAATGTCACACACACACATGCACACACACACACACATTTTCACACCAGAGAGTGCGCATATGAGTTGTTCAGGAGAAGCAGCAGCACCAGCAGACTCGTGACAGAACAGGAAGCGTGTAAACCCGCACCACCACCGACGAAGAAGAAGAAGAAGTGACAGCGCCAACAACCACGAATGAGAGCGACATCAGCAACAACAACGCCAATGCACCAATGCCAGCATCAGGAACAGCAACAGCACCTGCGCCATTCGTTTCATCTCCAGGTCTTTGTCTGCGCGCTGTGAGAGGTCGAGGAGCTTGGCCATCAAGTCCATCATCGCCTCCGTCTGTCGAGGTGAAAGTGCGATGTGTCGGTAGGTGTGAGGGGGTGGGTAGGTGTGGCAAGAGAGGAAGGGGGTGGGGGTGGAGTGGGTGGGTGACGCACGAGACGAGGTTGAAAGGAGCAGCCGGGGGACAGTGAAAGGGCCAGCACAATTGCCAGGGCTGAAGAAACGAAGAGGAATCGAAGCACAGCACTGCTGGCAAGAGAAGGAAGAAGGGTCAAGAGGGGCTGTGATTTCGGTGCGGTATGACCTGGTCGATGATGAAGATGATGCGTTGCTCGTCAGACCGGACGGCGATGTACTGCTGCAGCTCCTCCAACTTGGCCGTGCTCGACGTCTTGAGGTGCGAGGAAAAGGAGGTGAGGTGATGGAGAAAAAGAGGGGGGGGGAAGAAGCGAAGAAAAGCGGGTTCAGGTGAGCACGGGTGTGTGTGTGTGTGTGTGTGTGTGTGTGTGTGTGTGTGTGTGTGTGTGTGTGTGTGTGTGTGTGTGTGTGTGTGTGTGTATGCATTGTCGAGGAGATGGAGTACAGACATGTCATATTGAAGCATGGACGCACCTGGAGGAAGAAGGAGACTTCCTTGTTGTCCACGTCCGCCTCAAACTTAAACTCGTCCCATGAGAGGTGCACCTGGAGTGATGATGATGGTGCGGTGAGGTCGCGGTAGCATAAAGGAGGAGGAGTTGCTGGCAGGAACGCTAAGCAACAAATCCCGCACAGTTGCACACAAACACAAACACGCACGCGTATGTGGCGAAGTTGTGAGTGCACTGCGCACCTTGAGCATCATGGGGTCGCGCATGATGACGCTGACAAAGTCGGAATTGATGGCCAGGGAAATGGCGTCCGGCCTACGTGGCAGTAACGACATGTATGCGTGTGTGTGTGTGTGTGTGTGTGTGTGTGTGTGTGTGTGTGTGTGTGTGAGCGTGTACGTATGTGTGCGTATGTGTGCGTGTGTCGTCGTTTCGTAAGCTAAAGTGAACGAGGGAAAGGCTCAAACGGGCAGGTGCGGATGCAACAAGGACAAGGAGACACATCCACTTACACTTTCACACATGCATGCATACCCACGCACACGCACACATACAAATGTACACGCACACATACAAATGTACACGCACGGACACACATGTGTGAACGCGCACCTCTTCCTGCGAGATGCCTTGAGGAGGAGGCCGTCGAAGAGGGTTGCGCCATAGTAAGGCCACTGGCGGCAGTACTGCAGGAAGAGACGATGCAGTGACAGTACATCCGTCACGCCTTTGTGCTTCTGGTGCTCAGCAAAGATGCGTCTGCAAGTAGAACGGAGCACAGTTATCGCGTGATGATGAGAAGGTGCGCTGCGAGTCGGGGAGGAGGTGTGGCAAGTGCAGATGCAACCGGCAATGACAAGCGGAAGCATGCTCGTGCGTGTACACATGCACACGTAGGTGCGTGACACAGGTTTGTAGGTGACAGGCGACAGAGTGTAGTATGACATGCAACGGCCGTCAACCATCGAACACACACACACACACGTACACACGCGCGCGTACACACGTATACACACGCGCGCGCGCGGCGGATGGTTTGCGTGTGCTGGCCTCACCTTTCCCACTCGACAGTTCTGAGCTGGTTGTGGAGGAGGTGCTGTGGCACAAACGTCTCGAGACCGCCACGCAGGAACCCGGGGACATGTGTTTGGGGGTTGAAGTCCCCAAACCGAATCTGCACACGAGGCGAGTGGTGGAGGGGAGGAAGGGGAGAAGCGAAGGCAGATGTGTTACACGTTGTGGAGGGGCGTGATTTGACAACATGGTGCGAGGAAAACATGAAGGAGACAGTTAAAAGCGCCACACACACATATGCACACATGAACATACGAACACATGCACATGCATACATAAACACATACACTCACTCACACACGCACCTGCATGAGGAGGCCAGCGAGGTGGACGGCATCTGCGAGCTGTGTCGGCCAGAGCGAATGCAGGACCGCGAACAAGGCTTCGTCAAAGAGGAGCTTCAAGGCAACCTGCGACAGCACCCGGCGCTCCACGTGCTGATAATGGCAGATGCAACGCGCACAGGCAACGGCAGTGAGGACGAGGGAAGAAGGGGATGTGTGTGCGCGTTTGGGGGGGGGGGGTGTCGTGTATCTGTGTGTGTGTGTGTGTGTGTGTGTGTGTGTGTGTGTGTGTGTGTGTGTGTGTGTGTGTGTGTGTGTGTGTGTGTGTGTGTGTGTGTGTGTGTGGAAAGACAGCAGTGAGTTAGATGGGGCCATGCAAGCGAGCGCTCGGGAAAGTAGCCCAGGCAAACAAGTGTGGGCACAACAAACGAACGCACGAACGAACGAACAAACGAACGAACGAACGAATGACAATCGACAGAGATGAAGCAGGCAGTGCAAACATACAAACGCAAACACAGACGTGAACACAAAAGCAAAACCCACGACTGACTTTCTGGGTTTGTGAGGATGGCTGCGACATCCTGCCAGTCGTTGAGTTGGGCTTTGTTGCAGAGGTCGAGGGGCGTGTTGCCGTTTGCGTCCTTCTGTTGGATGTCAACAATCGGACAGGCAACTGCAACAAAGGAGGGAAGGAGGGTGGGAGAGAGGAAGGGAGAGAGAAAGAGGGGGGTGGGGAAAGGGAAGCAGGAGTGAAGAAACGAGCAAACGAAGCAATTAAGCACAAAAAGGCGTGAGGATGGCGCTGGTGAAGAGAAGATGGAGGGGGTGCAGCGCGGTAATGGCTTGCAGGCAGACAAAACAGAGAGAGAGTGTGTGTGTGTGTGACCGAGACAGACAGACAGACAGGTAGACAGACGGACAGACGGACAGACAGACAAGACAGAAAGACTGACAGACAGACAGAGAGGGAGGGAGGCCGAGACTGGCACGTGGACACTAATTAGGTGAGATGCACACACCCAGCAGTCTGACAATTTCTGCAAATCCGTTGCGAGCGGCGAGATGGAGAGCTACAGGCGCAGACGTGGAAGTGCACACATGAGGGACGGGCAGGGTGAGCCCGACAAGCATATGAATGAGCAGGGCAAATATGCAGCACGTGTGACAAGTGAGCTGAGAGAGTGCGCTCACACATGCACGTGTACACGCGCATACAGGCATATGCTCACATGCATGCGTACAAGCAGTCGTACACACACACACATACACACGCACACCTGTTGCGTTGCTTGGTGTGATTTCAGCTGGCGCTCCTCTCCAGTCCTCCATCAAAATGCGAACAATGTCCTCCTGACCGTACCAGCTTGCGTAATGCAGCGGGGTCCACCCTTCTGTGTCCTTGGCTTTGGCACTGCATGACGTGTGGGAAGCATGAGTGTGCATGTCTGTGCCTCAGTCCAAGAGAAAGACGAAGAGGGAGAGGTGCAGGAGTAGCAGGAGCAGGAGGAGCAGGAGGTAGCAAGGGTGCAAGTCATACCAACAAACCAAAGACCGAACGAGCGAGCCCACGCACCTGTGGTCCCCCTGGAGGAGGAAGTGGAGTTGTGTTGATCTTCCGAGCATGGCAGCCTCGTGCACTGGGAAGCGCGCGGCCCAGTGCATCCAGTTGGGCGGGATCTCGGGGTCGTACAGCGCAAGCCGCTCGTCAAGCGTCTGCAACATTGGCGGTGATGGAATGTGTGAGGGAGGAAGTGGGCGTTGGGAGTACACGAAGAACAGAGGAGGTCAGAAGACAAGACAGCATTTCCGAGTGACACAGAGATACGGCACACACACGCACACACACACACATGCACACATGCACGAAACAAACACACACACGCGCGCGCGCACACACCGCGGGCTCGGAGCTGAGTGCGGATGCGTGGAAGTGGGAGCGGGAGTCTGCGGTGGGGAGGACGAGTGTTGACTGGAAGAGTGGGTTGATGGCTGAGCGCGGTGCTGCGCGGAAGATGCTGTGTGCAGGGGTGTCGCCTGTGAACGCCTTGTTCTCGATCGAGCACTGCACCCGCTTGTCTGCATGTGCACGCCACAGCTTCAGCACTCGCTTTGCATCCGTGTGAAGCGACGCGAACCACTTGTCAACCCTGTGTGTGAGAGGGGGGGGGGAGAAGGGGGGATGTTGATACAGACAGGCGCACAACTCACACACACACACACACACACACACACACACACGCACGCACAGAAAGAGGCACACACATACACACACACAAGCACAACTCACACACAGACACACAGGCACACACAAGCACAACTCACACACGCACGCACGCACACACACACACACACACACACA